TCGCATCCAAAATAAAAGTTTTTGTTTACATAATATAGGTGTGTATACTGTGTATATTTATTGTGTATATATAAATAGAAACACATGCATGTATATATTTAAGAAAAATATGTTATGTTTATATATTAAATATATTTATGTATAATATAAAATCTAAGAATATAAATGTATATGTTCATAATTAGTTGACACATTTTCACCATCCAGTCAATTCTTTTTGTGAACAGCAATTCACGTCTACAGATATTTTAGTTATTTGATTACAGATCACATTTGGCAAATTGATTCTGGACCTGGATATAACATAACACCGCAAACTGATGTTTAGAGATGATGATTGGACCACCATCCCGTAGTCATTAACCAGAGCACCTCTCTGTCTTGCTCTGTTTCTTGGCATTACCTGCCTGTATGACAAGAATCCAGCTGCTCTTCTGGGTTTATTCAGGGATCTGGGAGGAAGTAAAGAGCGGGCTTAAGTTGAATCTTCACCAGCCTAAGGCGGAACTGGCAACAGCAGGACCATTTATTAGTTTCTTCTCTGACATGTGGGGTAAAGCGGCCCAGGCTTCGGACTGTTCGGCAGCCCTGAGGTGGAGGGGTTAGATCACAAGCTCATTTCACGTGTGACTGGATGTGAATTAGCCGAAAGCCTGCCTTTCTCTCTATATTTCTCCCGCTGATCTCTTGACGCTCTCTCATCATCAACTCTTCTTGATAACAAACGGTGCTATGAAACGCCACACGGAGCGAGTTACTCCTCGTGTTGCCATAGCAGGCAGCAGATGAGGCAATCAGTGGCACATCGTGGTACATGACGCAGGGCGTTCAGGGTCTTGAATGGCTGAGAAACTTTTGGCTCATCAAGAGTCCAAGACTTGGCAGTTCCTTGTGCTCACATATGGTGTCAACACCTGTACGCTTGCTGCAAAGTGGCAGTCTATGCATTAGCATATGGGACGGGCGGCTTTCGGCGTAGATGTTAGTTTTGGTTATCGTTTTTGTTCTAAACAATATTTTCCGGGTTCAAAACCCATTTATCTCTGTCATACCACAGAAAAGCATTTCGAATCATCCCTCAGTGTTAAAAAAAAAACGTAAAATGGAAATCTACAGGGCAAGGCATAGACGTTAAAATACACATTGTTTCACAAGTCTGTTCTGATAAAATTGCTTACTAACCTTGTCTGTGCAGAGTTACATCCAATTTTTCAACTTTTCTCATTACCATGTAAAGGCAGTAAACCCTGCAAGGTACTATTTACATAGAGGAAAATCCTCCCACAAGAATTATGTCGTATAACCTGGAGTTTATCTGCTTACTACAACAGTAGAACCACTGCTATAAGGGCATTTAAAACAACTGTACATCTCAAATAACTCCCATTTTGTATGTAAGCATATTTATGTTTTAATAACAATATGACATGAGCGTTAGTGTCAATTATTCTGATTTACCCAGTGCTTCTCAACCAGGTGGCCAGGACCCACTAGAGGCCTCAGCAAACTTCCAAGGGCAAAAACAACTATAAATCAAGATATTTCCTGTTTGAATTCACTCCCTCAAGACTTTTTTTTCAGGGTTCCTTCTGTCTAGAAAAAACCTGTATATATGAAGTAACCTAATTATAAGTATGATTTCTAGACCTGAAAAGGTCACATAAATTTCAGGTGGAATTTTTGAGTAAAAAATATATTTTTTAAATCCTTACCCTTGATTCTTATCCAGTAAATCATGAACAACTGGAAAAATCATGCAGCTTCAAATATTGTTGTGGGAATTGGGGGAACCACTGCTGTACAAAGTGATGAAGTAACATGTAAATCTCGAGATTTGATATTTTGTCGATGGCTTGGCTTCTAATTCAGAGACATTGCACCGCTATATTGCAAATAGCCCCGTCCTCATGAAATCTCATTGGTCCAAAATTCTGCTCCACATAGCTAAATATTACACTTAAAAATGTTGTCAGTGTGGACAGACTTAAGTCTGGAATCATAGTTAGATTCATTAGTACAAGAGTTACAAACTGAAATGATTTTCTGTGGGGCTCTATTTGCATTAAACACATTGTTTATAGAGCTTAACTTACATTGAATCCGGAACCATCTTCTTTACCACTTTCATTTCCTAGTTTCTATGCTTTTCTCTCACTCTTTTCTCTCTCTGGCCTTTCAACTTCACTTCCGCCTAAAATACACACGCGAGTACAATGTTGTATGAAAAGACAGAAAGCCATCTTAATAACAGCCTTTCAAGAGTAAGTATACGGCTATGGCGACTGAAGATGACAATGATTTTTGCGTCTCCTAATTGTGCACCCTGCCTCTCTGAAAACCAAATGGAGCGTTAAACTTGATTAAGGCGAACTGACTGATCCCGTTGCCAGTTGCTCTCTTTCAGCGTGCGTATTTGTGTCACAAAACCCAAAGCTGAGGCAAGCGACTCGAAGCCCACACCCCAAAGCTCTCTTTCCCTCAGAGCGAACGCTACGCTGAGCTCCTGAATGACGGGTGCAGCCAAGTCGAAATAAGAAAACGCATGCCATGACACACGACGATAGCATCGGTGCTCTCCCGCACAAAGCTAGCGTATCTACACACTCGCTCCCTCTCGCCCAGGCTGTGACAGCCGGTCTGATAGAAGTAGTATTCCTGTAAGGTATCGTATTTCACACCTCGTCAGCTACTCGCTGTTCAAATGCGAGATGATTAGCATGTAATTAAGAGCCTGTGCTAGCATGTTATCAGGTTCCCGACCAAGCGCGGTTAGCCTGTACATGAGGGATCCGTTAAAGTTGAGCACGAAGCCACGGATGATTGGGCGTTTGGATCCCTTGGTCCCTATTGTGGTGAAATCTCCGTGCCACTGTTATTGTTGTCCTCTGAATCTTTATATATATATATATATATATATATCAGAGAATATGTATCTTTGAAGAAGACTCTTGCATTGGTAATGTCTTTAAGTTTGAGCTCAGCTGCTGCATTGGAGAGGTTTGCGAGAGTGTTGAGAAGGCTGCGGTGGTTGGAGCATCGACGGATGCCTGCATGAAGGGAGGGCTTCCTTTGAAGCTTCAGCTAAACCCTGCTTTTCTGCCCTATTTATATCAATCATTCATCACTAGAGGCTCTGGCTGTCTGTGATTAAAGCCTCCCTACAGGAGGGCAACATCTGAATATGTATATATAATTCATATCTACTTGCACTCTCTCACATGCACAAGCGCACTCTCTCACAGATCAACCATATTCTGCAGTCTCAAACCCAGTAGTGTATAAACACTTCTGGTCAAGAGTCTATGTAATGATCGGGTTGAGCTTGCAGAAAACCTAGCTTTTAAAAACCTCAAAGAATTACATCAGAAAGATGCGGTGAAGCAACCTGGGTCTTCTACATGTGCAGTTGATTAATTTTGTGGGTAATTTAAAGAGATGGTGCACACAAAAATGGAGATTCTGTCTTTATTTTTCACTCTCTTGTCATTCCAAACCTGTGTGACTTTTAAAAGGTAAGGTTTAAAGAATACCCTGGCTGCTATTTTTCAGTGTAATGAAAGTGAATGAGTATTCACACTGAGTAGCTTCAAAATTACAAAAAAGCATCATGAAAGTGGTTCTTTTGAAGTGGAGTCTTCTGAAGCCATAAAATAGCTTTGTGTACAGGATAAACCAAAATTCTAAGATTCAAATTGTCATCATTTATTCACCTTAATGTTGCAAACCTTTATGACTCCGGTGAAACTTAGATACGATATTTAAGAAATGTTCTTAATGTCTCTAAAACTGATTACCAATTGTAGTACCAACATCTGGTTTTGGTTTGGGTGAACTATCCCTTTATTCACTGAAAATCTTGGCAATCCACTCTAGCTGTACTTGGCATGTTCATTAGATTTTATAGGAATAGAATGAATCATACTTTAAGTCATATATTTTCTATAAATTGGCTGATTTAGTTCACAGAACCACTCTGAATGATTCACTCACAAACCTAACTAATCCAGATTTCACTGACAAGGAATATATTAGTAATTTGGACCAATTTATTCTGCCTTTTAGAAGCTTGAAAACTTTAGTTACCAGTCATTGTAATCATATGGAAAAGAATGACAAGGACACATTCAAAATCTCTCCTTTTATGTTCCACAGAAGAAAGTCAGTCATAGAAGTTTGGAACAACATGAGGTGCAAGTAAATGACAAAATGTTCATTTTTGGGTGAACTAATCCTTTAAGGCTAAGCCCTTGTTGTTTGACTACAAAAGGGTCTCTTTGCAGGTGTTCAGGGGTTGGGGTTTAATGAAGCTTAAGTGATATGATGGAAACACTATGCTTTTTACAGACTGGAGTGGGTTTATGCCCGGTGTTTCAATACATCTGATTTTGATATGAATCTGTGAGGCATACAAAGCATTGCTCGGGCTAAGGACGCCCCGCTGGAACCATGCTGAGGCTTTTTTTGTTTGTTTCAATGGCAAAGAGAAATGGGTGGGAGGGTATAGGTAGAATTCAAAGGTGAGAAAGAAGGCTTACAGAAACATTTCCATCTATGCTTACCCATCATTCCATTCCTGCTTTCTCCCAGAATCCATTGAGCTGACAGCCAAACCTACCCCCTTCCCAACCACCCACCACACCACCCCTCCCACCGCTCACGTCAAGATCACCAAACAGCGCCATGGCCACACCACCACCACTACTTCAAGCATTCTCAAGGATCTGGACAGCTTCGTGGTGGAGGCACTGCCTCCACCGAAGATGGTCGAGGCAGGAAAGTACTCCAGCTCTTTCACCACCCACCGCCCCACCACACTCAACAAACCACCCCGCACCTCATCCCCACCTCTGGACTCCAGCCCTGACTTTGACGAATCGGGCAGTGGAGAGCCCAGTGGGGACGACGAGATGGTGAGCGGAATGGAGGAGAGCGGAGAAGAGCCACTTGGTAATGCATTCACCATAATCTTTCAGTCATAAGGGGTTTAGGCATAATTGTCAAGAACAGATGACAAGAGATGATGAAATTCTGGAGTGACCTTGTGTGTGAGATGACCTCGACTCGATTTGTAATGGCATATCAATTTAACACTGCCCATTATCTCAGCACCCATTATAATTTGAGAGCTTTTGACACCTGACATCCAACTGCTAAGTGAGCGGTTTCATTTGGAATCACTTTGGTAAATAATTCACCAAAATGACTAGCTTCAGCTTTTAACGTGGCCTAACCTTATGAGTAAGCCTCTTCTAAAGGTCATTTCAGATGAAGTCGATGCAACCACTGTTCCTTTCTCTCATTGCATAGTCTGTGTTTATCAGGAACCGAGCTTAAGACATAGACCCCATGAAATGAATTGAGTTTTCTTTCCTATGTTGACATTTTTGGCACATATATATTTTACATTACTTTTGTTATATCTTATTTATATGTAGTGTAACTATTTTTAGGGGTTCAGGCACGTAGTGCTGAAACCCTATTGTAATTTTTATTTAATTTTTTATTATTATTCTCTGGTAAAACTGATCACGCAGCCCAAACCGTAAGGCCTAGAGTGCTGAAACTTGGTCAGATTGTAGTAGTATTGCTCACTACTCAGATCCAAAGACTCGCCCCAATCGGATTACAGGGAGTGCTACAGCACAAAAAACTTTACATCGTTGTAATCCTTGGGTCAAAACAAACAAAACTTCTACCAGAGGATTTCTACAAAGTCCAGTTTTTCTGCAAAATTGAGCTATGTCCAAAACCTACTTTTGCGAACTAGTCCTAGGTTTTTCGCCCGATCAGAACCAAACCACTGCAGAAATATTCTCGGGACAGTGAATATCAATAATTATAAAACAGTAACAGTACGCAGAAAACGTTCTATGATCATTTTAGCCAATTGCTAAATGTAGCTATAACTCTTGAACGGAATGAAATATTTTCGCCAAACTCGGTACACATATTGCACAGCTCTGCCACTTGGTAGCGCTATAAGAAAAACATAAAAATTACTATAACTTCGCAACCGTTGGTTCGATCGACTTGAAAATTGGTATGCAGTGTCTTTGTCCAAAGTGGCACAAGTGTCTATGAGGACATTTGCGTATCTCAAAAAACATGGCTGCCATTAGCCAAACAATTTAAGCACCTATTTGACAAGGTTAACGGAGGTTGATCAGAACGAAACTTGGTGGATATGTTCGACTCATGGCCCTAAATGTCTGTAAGAATTTTGAAAGTAATCGGCCACTAGTTGGTGCTGACGAGTTTTATGGCTCTGTAATCATGTGGTGTTTCACACACCCACACAATATTCATATCATTTGATAGATCTCCTCATAATGAGCAACTTTGCCTTCAGAACTATTGCTGTCAATCAAATCGTTCATTAAATATTCACAAATATGTTAAAAACCTACTTTTGCGAACTAGTCCTAGGTTTTTTTCTCAATCTCGATCAAACCACTGCAGTAATATTCTCAGGACTCTCCGGATCAATAATTTTGTCCTTTGGTTAGCTATAACGGGCTCATTTAAAAAAAAAGGTGCGTGGCCAAATATACCCAAAAGCTTATAAAACCTAAACAAAAACTCGAAACTTTATTAAATTTGGTGAAAACATGTGTCAGATGATTCTTAATAAGCATGCAAAGTTTCATGGAGATCGGACTATAGGTGGCGCTATAACAGTTAAAAAGGCCTCAAAAACACGATATTTCTATAGAAAATGACCTCAAATTGTAGAACATGTTCATATATTCACACAAACACTAGATCTTCATATCATATGATAGATCTCCTTATTCTGAACACCTTTGCCTCTGGGACTAATGCTGTCAACCAAATTGTTCATTAAATATTCTCAATTATGTTAAAAACCTACTTTTGTGAACTAGTCCTAGGTTTTTCGCTCAATGTCAATCAAACAACTGCAGAACAATTCTCTGAACTCTCTAGATCAATAATTATCAAAAAAAAATTGAATTTTGGCCTTTGGTTAGCTATAACAAGGTCATTTAGAAAAGGGGTGTGACCAAATATACCCAAAAGCCTATAAAACCTAAATGAAAACTCAAATACTTTACGAAACTTGGTGAAACCATGTGACAGATGACTCTTAACAAGCATGCAAAGTCTAATGGAGATTGGGCCATAGATGGCACTATAACAGTTAAAAAGGCCTCAAAAACACAATATTCATATAGTAAATATCCTCAAATATTAATGTCTCTTTATTTTATTAATTTATTAATATTAATTATTTTTAAAAGTTCATATATTCACACAAAAACTAGATCTACATATCATATGATATATCTCCTCAGTCTGAACAACTTTGCCTCAAGGACCACTGCTGTCAATCCAACTGTTCTTTAAATGTTGATATTATATTATTTTTAAAAAACTACTTTTGTGAACTAGTCCTAGGTTTTTAACTCAAAATAAATAAAACCACTGCAGTACAATTCTCTGGACTCTCTAGATCAACAATTATCAAAAAGAAATGTTGAACATTGGCATTTGGACAGTTATAGCATGGTAATTTAAAAATGTGGTCCTTGTATAGTGTACCTAAGTGCCTATAAATCTTAAAAGAAAACTCCAAACATCACAAAACTATGTAAACTCATGCATTATATGATTCTAAACGATCCTGCAAAATTTTATGGAGATTGGTCAGAAACTGACACTGTAATAGTTATGAAGGTTAAAAACAGTACTTTTCTATGCTCTATTCCCTGAAAGTGCAAATACAACCACTAGATGGCAGCAAAGGATCACTCATTGGCTCATTCTATCACTTATATAGTTCTTTTCTCAGGGTTTGTTAGGTACTGACATTCAGATAGTTTAAAATCATAAATATTACAAGTTATTAAGTTATTTCAAATATCTATATCTACAACATAATCTGTGTCTGTGTGTGTGAGCATGCTAAGCCTCTATTAAGTAATTGAGTTGACTCTCTAGATCAACAATTATCAAAAAGAAATGTTGAACATTGGCATTTGGACAGTTATAGCATGGTAATTTAAAAATGTGGTCCTTGTATAGTGTACCTAAGTGCCTATAAATCTTAAAAGAAAACTCCAAACATCACAAAACTATGTAAACTCATGCATTATATGATTCTAAACGATCCTGCAAAATTTTATGGAGATTGGTCAGAAACTGACACTGTAATAGTTATGAAGGTTAAAAACAGTACTTTTCTATGCTCTATTCCCTGAAAGTGCAAATACAACCACTAGATGGCAGCAAAGGATCACTCATTGGCTCATTCTATCACTTATATAGTTCTTTTCTCAGGGTTTGTTAGGTACTGACATTCAGATAGTTTAAAATCATAAATATTACAAGTTATTAAGTTATTTCAATATATCTATATCTACAACATAATCTGTGTCTGTGTGTGTGAGCATGCTAAGCCTCTATTAAGTAATAGAGTGTGTCTTAAGTAATATAGTTCAACCTTTTCATTACTCTGTGTGTGTGTGTGTGTGTGTGTCATCATATTCTCCATCATGGATGTGTTCTGGTGTCAGCCATACATTTCACGTTGGCTGAGACCCCTGACAGCATAGAAGTCATGAAGGCCTTTAAGTGCTTGAACCTCGGTAATCACTGCTTGCAGCTATATTTGATTATATTATTGGTTGCATTTTATTATTGCCAGACCAGTTGAGAACCACAGCTAGTTATTTTCTGCCTTTCAAAACCTAACTTTACAGCTCATACCATGGAAGAAAGGAACAAAGACACTTTCAAAATGAATAATTTCCAGCTGCTACCTACAATTTACAAGTATATTAAGTTGGTTATTTTAAAAAAAGGTATGATGTTAACAGACTTAAATAATCCTTAGTTGCATTACTTGCCTCTAGCAAAAAATAGCAAGTAGCTAATAATAGGGTAAGCTGCAATTCTAAAATTAATTCTAAAAATGTATCTTGTTTGGCACATTTTGCCATTTTTTTTTAAATGTGGATCTGTTCTTTTTGTCAACCTTCTGCACACTTCTGCAAACTAATGGACATTGACTCTAAAAGCCACAAAACTCCAATTTTGTTCTCCAATACAGCCGCCTCTAAAATGATAGCCTCTTAGTTGACATACAAGTGACAAATCCATCAATCCCTTTACTTGTTTTGTGTCCTTCACACCACGATACATAAAGTAGACCAGCTATTTTTATTCAGCTAATGCTAGCTTTACTGTTTAACTGCCTGAACTGGTATAAGAGAGAGCAGCGGGGCCTCAGATTTATTCTCTTGTCACTGTTGGACCAGAGCGCTCTTTGACACAGGACACATGAAGTCTGTCTGACATCGGAGTGGGAGGCATCTCTTGGGACTTTCTGATGACTTTCTGCCTCCCAGTGAACCAATAGCCTGTAAGGCTGAAGCAGTGTGGTGGCCAGCGTGCACCTCTGGGGCAGCGGCTCATAAATTTGCCCACAGACGTGATGAAAAGACGTCCAGGGATGCTTTCCAGCTCTATGCCAAAAGTCATTTTCCACCACTCACTATTTTCACACGCTGCCTCTCTCATACTCACAGAGCCCTTGAACATCTGACGGCTTTATGGTTTGTTTGCCAAGCAGGAGATATTTTGCTCCAACCCACAGTGCTAATCTTCTGTATATATCCTTGTAGGTGTGAGGCTGGCTCTATAGCTAAGACAGTTTTAACAAGCTATTGTTAGGGTTTGACTAAATGTGAGTTTAAAAGTAGGAATACATCAAGAAAGATGTAAAAGTCATTTCGCAGCTACTCTCAGATTGTTTACTGCAAATCGAACTGTCAACCATAGAGCCGTCTGCCTCTGTAATTATTTACACCATAATTTTCCTTCTCCACAACTTGACATGTTAATTTTTTTTGCAATTATACAAACAGAGATATCAGTTTAAACTAGTTGCTGCCTAGAAGCATCAAATTCTAGAAATCCTGCTCGTGTGACGTCTTCATCTCTCTCTTCAGGTACAACAGTAGCAACTACCACTCTTCCCACAGCCGAAGAACGGTCTTCCTGTGACAACACACCTTTCGGCTGCTGTCCCGATGGGAAGACGGCCGCCATCAGCTCTGAGAATACAAACTGCCCCTGTAAGTTCCCTCCAATCACAGCACGGGTTCATTTATTAACTGTATGACCAGCTCTATGACTAAGCCACCAACAGCGATTATTCTTTTTATCCTGGAAAACTGAGAGGATGATAGGATGACAGGGAAAACTACTGTCTATGAGCATGTATTATCTTAGACATGCCATATGGATGTTGATTTTGTGTGCCCAGGGTCCAAAATTAGTACTTGTCACACGCCAAATGCTTGTAAAAATGACCTGTTATTCACCAGTTGGCAGGTGACGTTATCAGGAACTGTATAATACATTGTTGAATTGAATTTTCTGTATATATACAGAATACTTATACTGTAGGTTTAATTTTAAGCAGCCATCACTCCAGTATTCAGTGTTACATGATCCTTCAGAAATAATTTGAATATGCTGATTTGGTGCTCAAGAAACATTATTGTTGAAAACAGTAGTGCTGCTTAATATTTTTGTGGAAACCTTTTTTTTTTTCTTTTGTAACAAACTTTTTACTGATGAATTTATTTTGTCTTGACTCAATAGTTAATATTAATTACTTCTTTCAAAAAGGAAAAAAATCGTACAAAGCACAAACACTGAGTATGCCAGATGCAGGGAGCAGGTTCAGTGTCAGTAGCCGTAGCAAATGGATAAACCAATTCTCCAAAATGTGTTCTGACTAGCATTAGACCAGATGCGTCCATACACACACAACCCTTTTTCTCGCACCAGCCCCATCTGTTTTATAAGAGCAGAAATTACACACAATGGAGACTAATCAATACAGGACAGACAGCCAGTAGCAGGCAGATGTTTTGTGTTCTCTGTATGGGAACACTAGGTCAAGTCCGATGTTATCCAGTTTCACAGTCCTCAAAATATAAACTGTAATTATAAAAAAAAAATCAATTATCGATTTCTTTATTTATATATATATATATATATATATATATATTTATTTATTTATTTATATAGTTCTATGCATGTACAGTGCTGTGAAAACGTTTTTTGCCCCCTTCCGGTTTTTTATTTTTTATTTTTTTGCATATTTGTCACACTTGAATGATTCAGATTATCAAACTAATTTTAATATTACACAAAGATAACCCGAGTAAATACAAAATGCAGTTTTGAATAAATTATTTCATTTATTAAGGGAAAAAAGCTGTCCAAACCTGCCTGGCACTACGTGAAAAAGTAATTGCCCCCTAAATCCAATAACTGTTTGTGCCACCCTTTGCAGCAACAACTGCAATCAGACGTTTGCGATAACTGGCAATGAGTCTTTCACATCGCTGTGGAGGAATTTTGGCCCACACTTCTTTGCAGAATTGTTTTAATTCAGTCACATTGGAGGGTTTGAATGGACTGTTTAAGGTCATGCCACAGCATCTCAATCGGATTTAAGTCCGGACATTGACTTGGCCACTCCAAAACCTTAGTTTTATTTTTCTTGAGCCATTCAAAGGTGGACTTGCTGGTGTGTTTGTGATCATTGTCCTGCTGCATAACCCAAGTGTGCTTAAGCTTGAGGTCACAAACTGACGGCCGGACATTCTCCTTCAGGATTTTCTGTTAGAGCACAGAATTCATGGTTCCATCAATTATGGCAAGTCGTCCAGGACCTGAAGCTGCAAAGCAGCCCCAGACCATCACACTACCACCACCATGTTTGACTGTTGGTATGATGTTCTTTTTATGAAATGCTGTGTTGGTTTTATGCCAGATGTAACGGGACACACACCTTCCAAAAAGTTTTGTCGCATCAGTCCACAGAATTTTTGCCCAAAATTCTTGGGGATAATCACGATATTTTTTGGCAAATGTGAGTTGAGTCTTTGTGTTCTTTTTGGTCAGCAATGGCTTTTGCCTTGGAACTCTCCCATGGATGTCGTTTTTGCCCAGTCTCTTTCTTATTGTTGAATCATGAACACTGACCTTAATTGAGGAAAGTGAGGCCTGCAGTTCTTTAGATGTTGTTCTGGGTTCTTTTATGACCTCCTGGATGAGTTGTCGTTGTGCTCTTGGAGTAATTTTGGTAGGCCGGCCACTCCTGGGAAGGTTCACCACTGTTCCAAGTTTTCTCCATTTGTAGATAATGGCTCTGAGCGTGGTTGGCTGGAGTCTCAAAGCCTTAGAAATGGCTTTATAACCCTTTCCAGACTGATACATATCAACTATTTTGTTTCTCATCTGTTCTTGAATTTCTTTAGATCGCGTGATGTGTTGCTCTTTAAGCATGCTTCAGACAGGTTCTATTTAAGTGATTTCTTGATTCAATAGGTCTGGCAGTAAGCAGGCCTGGGTGTGGCTAGTGAAATGTAATAAAATAATGTGGTTAATCACAGTTCTTTCTTAATTTAACAGGAGGGGGCAATTAATTTTTCACATAGGGCCACATAGGTTTGGACAGCTTTTTTCCCTTAATAAATGAAATCATCATTTAAAAACTGCATTTTGTATTTACTTGCATTATCTTTGTGTGATATTAAAATTAGTTTGATGATCTGAAACTTTTAAGTGTGACAAATATGCAAAAAATAAAAAATAAAACAGGAAGGGGGCAAAAAACATTTCATGGCACTGTATGTGTTTTTATATGTACCATATTTTTAAATATACTGCAAAATACATTATCATGCTAAGTGAGAAATATTTATGTCTGGATTTTCTCAATTTACGTCTCAAAAAATTCATTTTGGACCCTGGAAAAAAGTATTTAAAGAATAAAAGTTTTAAATTTCTTTTACTACTGGAATCATGCTTCTGATATAGTTGGTGTTTGTTCTCCTCTGTTGTCCTCTATGGACCAATTCTGAGCCTACAATTTAAACTAGGGAGTCTTAGATGCCTCTGCCCTACCCCTCTGCATCAAAGTTAAAATGTTAGTTAAGAATGAATTTACATATCTAGTGTAAATTTAAATTATATAGCTCATTGTACAACAGGAAGCAATCTGGACTCTTTGTAACCAAAGATAAGGACAGTTTTAATGAGTAGACGCTAGAAATGATGGACCATAGCCGTATTGTGGTGGAGAATTTGGGACTTTAATTTGAATCCACATCTAAAGCCTGATTTCTCCACATGTCTTTGCACTCCGTGGGAAATCCCTGTCCTCAGAAGTTTCCGATTTAGAATCCGATCGCTGTTTCCCTCCATCTCTCTTCACATTCAAATCTCCCCCATTTGCTCCTTTTTGAAAGTCCCATCAGATACGAGGTGATGTGTGTCTGTGCAAAAAGACCCTTATCATGCAGTTTTAACCAGCTTCTGTCACTCACCCGTTCCTGGGATTAGAAGACAATTACGGCTATCTTTCACGATAATCATACAAGTGCTTATCCCGGTCCCAGCCAAGCTGGAGCTTGGCCGGCATGATTGATTTGGGCAATTTGTTCAGCTGATTACATGCTGCACAGAACCCAGCATCAGGCCCGCTCCCCGCTCTCCTTCAGTCGTTTATTCATTATTTATTTCTCTCCGTCATGTAAAAACAGGCCTCTGATCCTCTATCGCTCTTTCTGCTTATTAGTGTCAATGAGAAAGGTCAGCAATAACCTTAAAGGAATGTTTAATGATGACCCCAACCCTAGTCGGGACATATGAAAGTTTGTGCTCTTGGAGTAATTTTGGTAGGCCGGCCACTCCTGGGAAGGTTCACCACTGTTCCAAGTTTTCTCCATTTGTAGATAATGGCTCTGAGCGTGGTTGGCTGGAGTCTCAAAGCCTTAGAAATGGCTTTATAACCCTTTCCAGACTGATACATATCAACTATTTTGTTTCTCATCTGTTCTTGAATTTCTTTAGATCGCGTGATGTGTTGCTCTTTAAGCATGCTTCAGACAGGTTCTATTTAAGTGATTTCTTGATTCAATAGGTCTGGCAGTAAGCAGGCCTGGGTGTGGCTAGTGAAATGTAATAAAATAATGTGGTTAATCACAGTTCTTTCTTAATTTAACAGGAGGGGGCAATTAATTTTTCACATAGGGCCACATAGGTTTGGACAGCTTTTTTCCCTTAATAAATGAAATCATCATTTAAAAACTGCATTTTGTATTTACTTGCATTATCTTTGTGTGATATTAAAATTAGTTTGATGATCTGAAACTTTTAAGTGTGACAAATATGCAAAAAATAAAACAGGAAGGGGGCAAAAACCATTTCATGGCACTGTATGTGTTTTTATATGTACCATATTTTTAAATATACTGCAAAATACATTATCATGCTAAGTGAGAAATTTTTATGTCTGGATTTTCTCAATTTACGTCTCAAAAAATTCATTTTGGACCCTGGAAAAAAGTATTTAAAGAATAAAAGTTTTAAATTTCTTTTACTACTGGAATCATGCTTCTGATATAGTTGGTGTTTGTTCTCCTCTGTTGTCCTCTATGGACCAATTCTGAGCCTACAATTTAAACTAGGGAGTCTTAGATGCCTCTGCCCTACCCCTCTGCATCAAAGTTAAAATGTTAGTTAAGAATGAATTTACATATCTAGTGTAAATTTAAATTATATAGCTCATTGTACAACAGGAAGCAATCTGGACTCTTTGTAACCAAAGATAAGGACAGTTTTAATGAGTAGACGCTAGAAATGATGGACCATAGCCGTATTGTGGTGGAGAATTTGGGACTTTAATTTGAATCCACATCTAAAGCCTGATTTCTCCACATGTCTTTGCACTCCGTGGGAAATCCCTGTCCTCAGAAGTTTCCGATTTAGAATCCGATCGCTGTTTCCCTCCATCTCTCTTCACATTCAAATCTCCCCCATTTGCTCCTTTTTGAAAGTCCCATCAGATACGAGGTGATGTGTGTCTGTGCAAAAAGACCCTTATCATGCAGTTTTAACCAGCTTCTGTCACTCACCCGTTCCTGGGATTAGAAGACAATTACGGCTATCTTTCACGATAATCATGCAAGTGCTTATCCCGGTCCCAGCCAAGCTGGAGCTTGGCCGGCATGATTGATTTGGGCAATTTGTTCAGCTGATTACATGCTGCACAGAACCCAGCATCAGGCCCGCTCCCCGCTCTCCTTCAGTCGTTTATTCATTATTTATTTCTCTCCGTCATGTAAAAACAGGCCTCTGATCCTCTATCGCTCTTTCTGCTTATTAGTGTCAATGAGAAAGGTCAGCAATAACCTTAAAGGAATGTTTAATGATGACCCCAACCCTAGTCGGGACATATGAAAGTGTCTTTTAACCTATTATCTGTGATATATTGTGCAATGTATGTCAGTGTCGCTGTCTAACCGATCTCTCTCCACTCAGTCCTCCATGCCAGCTTTTGGGAAGAGTCTCGGTCTGGTAAACTCCAGTCCATCCTTCCTTCCAGACCTTCTCCCTTTATCCATATTCTCACATACTTTCCTATACCTCCACCTCCACTGCAAACAAATCTCTCTTTCCTCACATGACTAATCTCACAGAAGCTCCATCACTAACTTACAGACTGGCATTGCACCAATCACAAGTGTGTGTAGCTAAGAGTGGACTTGCACTGTGTTTCATCGAAGTGTCTTTTATATAACCATACGTGCTTCCCTGCATTGCCCCACAGCCACCATGCGTTTCAGTGGCTTCCTGCACCTGGATAAGGTAGAGGGTCAGGAGGTCTTCTACACGCCTGAGATGGAGGACCCCAAGTCAGAGCTGTTCGGCGAAACGGCTCGGAGCATCGAAAGTGCTGTGAGTTATGCTGCTCAAACTTATGCTTGAGTTCATGCTCAAACTTATGCTTGAGTTCACTTTAAGTTCAGATTTCGGTTACAGTTTTATTTGATAAAAACAACTACAAAAACTACATAAAGTTTATGCTGCTGTAGTGATGCTTTATTTTTCAGTTGTGTGGCAGTAGCTCAGTTGTTTCAAAACACTGTAGTTGTTCTAATAACTGACTTGATTGAAGATTAGCTTCTTGTTTATCACAGATTCTTTTCTTGTTTGTTTCAACCCTTTACTACTTTTCTCTTCAAGTTGGCCCCTTGGGAATTAATGCGGAATGCATTGTGATAATTAATGGAATTATCCAACGAAACAGGTTGAATATGCCTTTTGAAAAAATATGTGTCTGGTGATCTGTCAGTGTCTGGAAAGCAGCGCAGTAACATAAAAATAAAATACAGACACTTGATTTTGAAGTTTGTGATCAACACAAATCCTATTTTAGCAACCAACGCTCAAAACTGTTCAGATGCTAAATATAGTCTGCTAGCACTATTCACGATACCAACATGTCAGTAACGCATACCAATTCTAGTGAAAATTAATTATTTGATACTAATTTGAAGAGTGCAGCAAAAGCTAATATGCTGTTTAATTTTCACTGTAGAATATTAGTTAAATATAAACAAATTAAATCAATTAAACATTTTTAACAATGAAATCTTAATTTATAATAATCAAATTTTAACGGTTAAATTCAGTGACGGTTTTTCTTTTTTTCTTGTTAATACTTTGCCAAAAATGACCTTGTGTTTTTCTCTAATTCAGTTATAATTTTTTATTAAAAGTTTTTAAAGGTACATTACAAAGACAAAAAAGCATGAATGGAATATAGGAACAATACAATCAGATAGAACAAAAAAAAACACAGTAAGATAATAATAGTAATAGTGAACAATTACAAAGATGTTAGTTAAATAAACAAACATTTGGACCAAGAAGTGCATTTGATACATCACTGCTAGTTTAATAACCTTTTTGTCAGTATTATTAGTGTGACGGTTTTTCTTTTTTTCTTGTTAATACTTTGCCAAAAATGACCTTGTGTTTTTCTCTAATTCAGTTATCATTTTTTATTAAAAGTTTTTAAAGGTACATTACAAAGACAAAAAAGCATGAATGGAATATAGGAACAATACAATCAGATAGAACAAAAAAAAAACACAGTAAGATAATAATAGTAATAGTGAACAATTACAAAGATGTTAGTTAAATAAACAAACATTTGGACCAAGAAGTGCATTTGATACATCACTGCTAGTTTAATAACCTTTTTGTCAGTATTATTAGATTATATATTTAGTTTGTTAGTTTATTTGGTTACACTTTATTTCGGTAGTCCACTTTAGACATTCTACTAACTATAAGTAACTTTGTAACTACATGTCAACTACATGTCAACTAATTCTAATTGATTTGCAACTACATGTCTACTAACTCTCAGAGTAGACTGTTAGGGTAGGTTTTGGGAAGAGTCTCGGTCTGGTAAACTCCAGTCCATCCTTCCTTCCAGACCTTCTCCCTTTATCCATATTCTCACATACTTTCCTATACCTCCACCTCCACTGCAAACAAATCTCTCTTTCCTCACATGACTAATCTCACAGAAGCTCCATCACTAACTTACAGACTGGCATTGCACCAATCACAAGTGTGTGTAGCTAAGAGTGGACTTGCACTGTGTTTCATCGAAGTGTCTTTTATATAACCATACGTGCTTCCCTGCATTGCCCCACAGCCACCATGCGTTTCAGTGGCTTCCTGCACCTGGATAAGGTAGAGGGTCAGGAGGTCTTCTACACGCCTGAGATGGAGGACCCCAAGTCAGAGCTGTTCGGCGAAACGGCTCGGAGCATCGAAAGTGCTGTGAGTTATGCTGCTCAAACTTATGCTTGAGTTCATGCTCAAACTTATGCTTGAGTTCACTTTAAGTTCAGATTTCGGTTACAGTTTTATTTGATAAAAACAACTACAAAAACTACATAAAGTTTATGCTGCTGTAGTGATGCTTTATTTTTCAGTTGTGTGGCAGTAGCTCAGTTGTTTCAAAACACTGTAGTTGTTCTAATAACTGACTTGATTGAAGATTAGCTTCTTGTTTATCACAGATTCTTTTCTTGTTTGTTTCAACCCTTTACTACTTTTCTCTTCAAGTTGGCCCCTTGGGAATTAATGCGGAATGCATTGTGATAATTGATGGAATTATCCAACGAAACAGGTTGAATATGCCTTTTGAAAAAATATGTGTCTGGTGATCTGTCAGTGTCTGGAAAGCAGCGCAGTAACATAAAAATAAAATACAGACACTTGATTTTGAAGTTTGTGATCAACACAAATCCTATTTTAGCAACCAACGCTCAAAACTGTTCAGATGCTAAATATAGTCTGCTAGCACTATTCACGATACCAACATGTCAGTAACGCATACCAATTCTAGTGAAAATTAATTATTTGATACTAATTTGAAGAGTGCAGCAAAAGCTAATATGCTGTTTAATTTTCACTGTAGAATATTAGTTAAATATAAACAAATTAAATCAATTAAACATTTTTAACAATGAAATCTTAATTTATAATAATCAAATTTTAACGGTTAAATTCAGTGACGGTTTTTCTTTTTTTCTTGTTAATACTTTGCCAAAAATGACCTTGTGTTTTTCTCTAATTCAGTTATCATTTTTTATTAAAAGTTTTTAAAGGTACATTACAAAGACAAAAAAGCATGAATGGAATATAGGAACAATACAATCAGATAGAACAAAAAAAAACACAGTAAGATAATAATAGTAATAGTGAACAATTACAAAGATGTTAGTTAAATAAACAAACATTTGGACCAAGAAGTGCATTTGATACATCACTGCTAGTTTAATAACCTTTTTGTCAGTATTATTAGATTATATATTTAGTTTGTTAGTTTATTTGGTTACACTTTATTTCGGTAGTCCACTTTAGACATTCTACTAACTATAAGTAACTTTGTAACTACATGTCAACTACATGTCAACTAATTCTAATTGATTTGCAACTACATGTCTACTAACTCTCAGAGTAGACTGTTAGGGTAGGTTTAGGGTTAGTAGAATAAGTTGACATATACTTGCAAAATTTCTGATAGTCAGTATGTTGTATGTTGTTGACCCATCAAAATAAAGTGTTAGAAGATATTAAGCAGACAGTCAACTAATACTCTAATGACTGCTAGTTGACATGTAGTTACAAAGTTACTTACTTTATTTCGATAGTCCGCTTTAGACACTCTACTAACAGTGTTACCGTTTATTTTGGTTTAGTTTTATTTAATTTCCAAAAAGCGATTATTTATCATTTTAGTTGTAGTTCACGTTTTCAACACTGGCTGGTATCTTGGCCTCAACTCACCGATACTTTTGACATACTGATAGCCTAGCTTCCTTCACTGAGTTTTTATTGCATTCTTCAGCTGACACTAAACTACCTGCCGGCATCTGCCGAAGAAGCTGGCGATTTGTTCTCTGCTTGTTAACCCATTTTGGGTGTGTCTGGGAATGAAGGGCAGTACGATAATGAGTTCCACTTATCACTCTAATGTTAGCTAGTGCTGTGACCATGATTCCCGACAGGGACTAAGCGAGGATGTAATCAGCCTTTCTCTAGGAGCGCTCTACCTGACACAGAAAGCTAATCCCCCATACTTCACTCTCTCTCTCAGTGAGGTCCAAATCTCAAATGGGGCCATGGGCAGTACAGAGCCAGCAATTGAAATGGTTTCACTTGCCTTGAGCGTGTCCTAATCCCGCTTCTTCATGAAGTTTATGATGCCCCCAGGTTCAATGGAGCACCCCCTCCCCTTCACGCCTCGATATCTCCACCTTGTGTTTCCCTTCACTTAATTTCAACACTGTCCACTAAACTCTGTGTAAGCAGCTTCTGAGGATAGAGACCAGTTTCTGGGTCAGCATTTCCATCCGGCTATGCTGGGCAGCCTGGTTTTGTTGGGGGTCTCTCCAGTGAGGCCTGAAGGAAAGGAGGGAGTGTCTCCTTTCATTTCTTGACCAGCATGGATCCAAAAGTACAATGAACTCACACAGGGTCAGCCTAGAGGCAAAAGCTATTATGTCTGCGACAACTGTGCGCTTTTCCGAATTCAAGTGCAGCTGTGAATGAAAAGAGCGAAGAAGGAAAACGCAAGGCCCTTGGGTGACTTGAATGGGGTACTCGATGGACCTCCTGCTGAGGCACTTTTGCAGAATGTGCACACACATCAGAAAGCGCTAGAACAACTCACAAAGCAGTTTGTGAGTCATTTGAGTGCATCCTAATTGGAAACCACTTCTCATTTGCACTAGTTTTGACCAGTTAGGTGCACTGAAATAAATTTGGTTTTGGTGAAATGGTCATTGTATTCAGGGAACCAGCAGCAACTAAGCTCATCTTGCGTTATTCCAAATCAGTGACAGAACTCTCCTATGTGTACCGAGGTGGAAACCGAGCCGATTTTAAACAGGCAGCGTTGTAATCTGACATTTACCACTGACTTCGAAACGTGTTCATGTAATTACTTCTGCGCTGCAGTTAAATGTCAATTTGTGCACCGAGACCCGATGGGGTTCAGTAGAGTTTTTCCACTGACACACTTTCTCATCCTGTGAAGGAATTTGGTGTTAACAAGAACTAGATCAGCACATCGAGCTTATTACCAGTTCATGCACTGCACTTGGGGCATTTACTTCTTTGTTTTTCTCTGTCTTACTTTCTTTCTGTTTTTATTTTCTCCAGCTGAATGAGTTGTTCCGCAAGTCAGATGTCCAGAAAGACTTCCAGAGTGTCCGTGTGAAGAATCTGGCCCCCAGCAACTCCATAATTGCCTTTATCGAGGTTCACTTTGACCCAGGTAAAGTTACACCAAAGGTTTTTCTTAAAGATTGTTGACTCAAAAAGATCTGAATTGTGCCCAATGATAATGTTTTATGTACACATGCTGTTTGTATCATTTCAGTGGCCAACTCACTATTACCAAATAATCTAACGCAGGGGTGCCAAATTTATCTCCTTGAGGTCCACAGTCCTACAGAGTTTGGTTCCAACCCTGCTCCAACACACATACCTGTAGTTTTCAAATAGTCCTGAAGGACTTTATTAGCTGGATCAGGTGCGTTTAATTAGGATTGAAGCTAATCTCAGCAGGACTGTAGCCCTTCAGGAACTGAGTTTGACACCCCGATCTAATTGCTCAAACTCCCCCACAAAATTAACACTGAGCACATCTTGTGTAACGGAGGCCAGCTAGTGGCTGTGAAGAGGTGAAAACATACCTGCCTCCCATGCTGGTTGACGTTTGTTTGAGTCCCACTCCAAGCAGTGCGCATAGGACCAGTTACGTTGGTGCCATGACCCGGATGGTAGTGAGGTTTAGGCGGGTGCGTGTTACAAAGGCCAGCTAGTAGGAAGTGTACAGAAACCTCACACCCCTGGCCTCAAGAGGCATGTTAGTGACTGGCGCTAGAGCCTGCTGTTTTGAGCATCCTTGTTAGCGCACCTGCCTCCCATGCTGATTGACAAATTTGTCAAATCTCACAGTAGGACCGGTAACACTTGACTTGAAAGTTTCAACTGAGCTATATATAGCATGCTATTCCACAATAGTGCAGCATCACTACACAATCCAGGCTCTTTAAAATACAGAAAGTGCACTTAACTACAATGTGCATTTGGACATATGCCCAATTATGATGCTTTTCTTCATCATTTGATCACCATTGATTAATAACAGTTGCCATTACAACAGACATCTCTTACATAAAATTACATTTACCACCAACTTTCCATGAAAGTGCAACGTTTAATAAAATTAAAAAATAAAATTAGCCTAATTTGCATAGACAATGATAATGTGTTGCACTGACAAGGATATTTGTAACTTAATATAAATATTTCAGTGCATTTATCTGGATTAAACTGCATTGCATGTGCTTAGTGAAGACTGTTTTTTGCGTTAAAATATGGTACAGTTGAATTTGCCCCTCAATGTTCTTTATTATCTGTCTCCCCCAGTCGTTCTGTTTTTCGTTATCCTGTTTTTATTTACTTTCTTGTTTCAAGCTGCTTCTAATTTATTTCTAAAGCGACTCTAGCATACAAAGCACACAGTCCGACTTATATCCTCCTCTCACATCAAAATTCCCCCAGTCTGCGCTCCTTTAGAAACGTGCCCGCGGCAAGAAATAAAAAGCACATAAAAACTCCCTTGTATGTTTGAAGAAAATACACAGCAGAATGAGGCATATAAGTTAAGTAAAAGAATCCCTGATGATACGGCTCTCGTCTTTTCTGTCTGCCGGAGCGGTCAGAGAGCGTGGCCTTTTTAGCAAGGTAATTTATCAGCTAGGGCTTCTGAAAAAGCTCCTTTATTTCAGTCTCCATCGCTTCTCATGCTTTTAAGACCCTGAGCATCACACTAGCTGATAAAAATCTCCTTCGCTATTCTCTTTTTATTGGTCCCCTTCAGCGGCACAAGAGCACTATTCTAGCACAAGCGCCTGTCATAAAGGCGGTCTGCGGTGGCCAGTAACAGGGCCATCTGTGGAAGCGTTATTAGAGCGTTTCATCCCAACGTCCCTGAAATGCATGGAGGTTCAAGAACAGATTCTCCCAAGGGCCTATTACACGCAGGCTTTTCTGTATATATTTGCAGTATGTTATGTCAAGTGCGAGGGTGGTGGGGCTGGTTAGTGCCGGTTCTTCTGTGCAATATGTTCACCTCTGGCTCTGTTTAATGTTGTGTTCTCGTGCTACAGACACAAGGTTCAGTGTGGAGGCTATTGAGGGAGCCCTTCTCAAACAGCTCAAGGTGTCTAAAGACACTGGTATCGTTGTGAAGAAACCTGAGGAAGAGAACATCCGCATCACCACCTATGGTAACCTGCTTGAAATTGCTTTTCCGTCCTTTTTCTTTTTCTCTTGCTGCCTTTGTTGAATGTGATTGCTCGTCAAGCTGACATTTGATAATCACAAGTGCCCGCGGGACTCAAATAACTCAAAAAGATCCAGCTTATTGAACGTGAGACTGTATGTCTCAGCTTCTGTTTCATTTGTCAAGAATTAAATATGTCTACCCTGACTAAGGCCTGTTGACCTACTTTTTCCTTCTCCCCATTTTTTAGGTCTTTCAGCTGTTCCTTTCTTCACCACCACCACCACCACCGTAGCGTCAGTCACAACTCCCACCACCACTTCGCTGTCTCCCACTTCTGCATTTACCACGCTCCGCCCAACCACTACCAGATGGCCCTTCACCAGCCGCAGGACCACCACAGACGCACCAGCCACCACCACTCCATCCAAGGCCCCCACAACCACAGTCTCGCTGAAGAACAGACTGGCGGTTCACGGCAACAGGCCATGCGAATCCCAGCCCTGCCGCCAAGGTGGAACCTGCGTGCAGGAGGACAATGACTTCACCTGTATCTGTCCTGCAGGAAGAGGAGGAGCTGTGTGCGAGAAAGGTGAGGAGTACTACAAAAACTTGAAAAAATGTGTGCATTGCTGGGACAACTGGGTGAAATCATAGCCAGGTCATATTTTAATGACCCCATAATCAACAGAAAAAAATATCTTTGCATAATAAAACAAAAACTAATTTTTAGGACCATTTAAGATTTATTTGTTACATTATTATGTTATTTTCATGAAAATTAAATAAATTTTTCATATCCATTTTTTCTTATACATCTCATTACTGCAATGTGTCTGGACAATTAAAATTTGAGGGTTTTTCTGGAAATTATAATAATGTTCTCAGTGGTGATTTTTATTAAAATGCTTTAATAATATGTTGTTTTTTAATCAACATAAAAGGCTGTACAACAAATACTACCATGAATACTTTACAGTTTTAAACATTTTAATATATCAGTGTTTTAATAGAATTTATAATATATATGCATTTAAATAAAGTAAATATATACTTTTTTGCATTATGCTAATTTGACTTGTTTTTAGGTATTGTGTTTTATTATAATGAAAATAATGTTGTAATGCAGAAAAACTAGCATTTCATTTGATTATAATCATTTTCTTCAAGCAAAGTATTGTTTCCTATTTCTTTTGATCTTTCTTTTGGTGTGAAATAAAAACCACAACAGAAGTGCCCTTGAATATTTCAGATATGTTTGAATATTAATTATTATTAACAATTGATTGCAATTAAACATGTATTTTTTTATTACTGTTATTATTTATGATTAATATTTCGGCATATTTGAATCCTTTGAAGACGAAAAAAAGTATTCAATAAGGATTGAATTCAAAATTGTAGCCCTGCTGTTACCCTGAATAGAAATTTTAGCTCAATTCATTGTCTCTGTTGGTGGTATTGGGATATGAAACTACCTTTTGCAGCTGTGTCAAGTTATAATTGACACTAATTACATCGATGAACTTTAGTTAGTATCAAACCGCTGTGAGGTGAAAAAAGCCACTAATTAAAGGCTTGTAAGCAGCCCTCAAACACTTCCTCTGATCAATCGGGCCATTAAAGTGTGATGAAGAGAGAAGGCTTCATCGGCCTTGCATTCTCCCGAGAAAAAGGTGAGAGACAGCCATTGACTTGTTTTTAGGTATTGTGTTTTATTATAATGAAAATAATGTTGTAATGCAGAAAAACTAGCATTTCATTTGATTATAATCATTTTCTTCAAGCAAAGTATTGTTTCCTATTTCTTTTGATCTTTCTTTTGGTGTGAAATAAAAACCACAACAGAAGTGCCCTTGAATATTTCAGATATGTTTGAATATTAATTATTATTAACAATTGATTGCAATTAAACATGTATTTTTTTTATTACTGTTATTATTTATGAGAGAGAGAGAGAGGTGTTGATACATTTCTGAGCATGGGGATTCTCTGTCTGGAATGTAAATGTCTAACGGAAAAAGGTCCAGAGAGAACTACAGTACTCACTGTTGCAGGTCTATGTTTTTTCACCCTAGGGAATAAAGCAAACACAACATGAACTGCACATTACTGTAGTATTGACAGGGGTATCTGCGTTATCTGAGGGAGACACACTTAAGCACACTTTTGTTTGTCGCTCTATCAGTAAAGAGCAGACTGTTAAGGGATTGAAGGCCAGGTTGAGAGCCTCTGATGACCTGCTTTATCTGTCTTCTACCTTCTGCCCTACTCAGTTATAAAGTACTTCATACCATCCTTTGGTGGCAAGTCTTACCTGGCTTTCCGAACCATGAGGGCCTACCACACTGTGCGAATTGCCATGGAGTTCAGAGCTTCGGAAATGACAGGGATATTTCTGTATAATGGCCAAAAGGGCAAAAAGGATTTCTTGTCTCTGGCACTGGTTGAGGGACATGTGGAGCTCAGGTAAGTAACCCACATTTGTTATATACTCTAGAGATGGAACTCAGTTCTTATGGCCATTACAGATCCATTAACCATTTTAATTTGTGATTTTTCTCCATGAAGGTTTAACACTGGTTCTGGGACGTCTTCAGTGATCAGTAAGGTCCTGGTAAGACCGGGTCGCTGGCATCAGCTCATAGTAGTGCGTAACAGGCGTAATGCCATGCTGAGCGTGGACAATGAGCCGAGCGTTGAAGGACAAAGTCCCCCAGGAACAGATGGACTCAACCTGGACACAGACCTTTTCATCGGTGGAGTGCTTGAAGACATGATACAAGAGTAAGAGAAGCTCCAGAACGCCTCTAAATAACACTAACAAGAGCCTCTTTAGTCTTGTTAGAAGCCATAATGAAACAATATGGAGAATAATAACCTAAACCACTGACTGTCTGAGATTGTCTGCGCATGTTTGAAGAAACCTGCCAGAACAGCTAATATGACTTAATAAGATTGAGCAGAAATGGCCAAATCAAATTAGCATCAGTCAGAGATGTTGTGAAATGTTCTTGTGGGTCTAATTGAATGTTTTTCCATCTGTTCTCAGTCAGGCAGAGAGTGTCTTTTCTCAATTGAGAAGAAGACGTCTTTGTTTTTTAGTTAGTCATTTTATGCTTTTGTTACATTTTCCGTGTCATTTACGAATTAAGACGAGCATTAAGGAACTGACAAGAACTAACTTGTTCTTGCAGTGTAAAGGAGAGGACGTCAGTTTCCACAGGCCTGGTGGGCTGTATCCGCATGCTGGACGTCAACAACTTGTTCTATAACCTGCAAGAGAATGGCGACAGCATTTTGTACGGCTCAGGCGTGGGTGAGTGCGGCAACAATCCATGCATGCCGAACCCCTGCAAGAACGGAGCCTCCTGCCAGGTCAAAGAAGCCGAGATGTTCCACTGCAAATGTGTCAATGGTTTCTCTGGTAAGTGCATCTTTTGACTTTAACATATTTTCTTTGAACACTTTCATTGGTTACGCTAGTGTTGTCTCCAAAAACAGATTGCTGTTCCATTTGGTGCCAACAGTGATGCTGAATTGACAACCTTCACCTTTAACTATACACTATTGAATTATAAAAGGTTCTGCAGTCACTCTCTGTTGAGTTCTGAATATCTGGACTTGACTGTATTGATGAAAGATTCAGCAGGGCAGAGGATGCTTGTCTAATCAGTTTTGAGCCTTATGGGTATGTAAGAAAGATGAGTGTTTACCCAATAATATGTAGGCAGCAAGGACAAGCATGCAGTGAATACAAAAAATTTCACCAGTCCTGGATAGAAAGTGAATAGAAGAACCGTCAATGTTTTCAGAACAACAGACACAAGCTATATTTCTCACAGTTCAATAACTTTTAAAAAAATTATCGTATTAAACAAAATCAAACATTATTCAGTTAATTCAGAGACACTTTTGAAGCACCAAACTTCTAACTGAATCTGATCAAGTCTCTCATGGACAGGCAGGGTTTTTCTTGTGTCTCTATTTATTTATTTTGAATAAATGTGTTTAAATTAAATTAAACCTAGCAATACCGTAATATATTATATTATTATATACTAAATATTTGTAAAAAATATTATATAAATAAACATACAAGAATATAAAATATATTTTTGGGAGAGAAATAGGATTCATTTTCTTTAAGTAAAATATTTAGCACACCCATTAAGGCAGGTCTTAATATTTCTAGTGCCAATTTATTCAGAGTACGTAATGCCAATGTTGTGATGAGCATTTTCCAATGTCTGCCGCACAAAGTTTGTTCAATCTTCAACCAAATTGGCTCAGGTCATCTTTAGACCAAGACTCAAAAAAGATTTTTGATTTTCAAAACCATTTGAGTGTAAAACACCAATAAATTTGATGGTGATTGTGCCAAACACAAAGTGAAGCTGTATCTTGGATCTTACTGGGCAATTTTTTATTTTTTTTATGTTACAAGGCAAAATGTATAATGTTACAAAAAATTATATTACAAATAATAACAGTAGTTTACAACATTACAGTTTTTATTGTATTTTTGAACAAATAAATGCAGCCTTGGTGAGCATAAAAGAAGTATTCTTTCAAAACATCAAGAAACCATACCAGCTGCAAACTTGTGAACGGTAGTATATATTCCACTGGTGTGCTTGGCCCTGTAATTACTGCTTGCAGCTGTATGTTGAACTTTCTGGCTTTCTCCTGTATGTCCATCTTTGCTTTCTCACAGCATAAGGAACGGTCGGAATCATCCACACTGTAGAAGTTACTGTGTTCTCTTTGTTCACTTTGAAGAAGCTTCTTTTTTTCTCTCCATCTTGCAGTGTTACTCCAGACATTTGAAATATTGCCCAGAGTAAATTGCTCTGTTGTTCTGCTCACAAACCTTTATTGAACAACCTTTATAATAATACAGTTCAATATCTTCCACTTTATTTCAGTGCTGCAGAATGGCTGCAATGAGGTGTGTAGGAAAATGAAGACCCTTTGAAGTAGAAGTGTACACAAAGAAATTGGCTAGAGGGATAAATATGTGGGATAACCTTTAATGTTTAAAGAGCTGGATTGTAAGTTGGAGGGTTGTCACACTGTCTCCGTGATAGTGTGGCCTTATAGTTTGAGAGCAAAAGAGAGAGACACCTAGCAGAGCGTCTCAGAACGCGGCGGGGGCTTTCATTTCAGCAAGCAGCAGCTCCCGCCCGTGGCGTGATCTCCTACTATGTTCTTTGTGATGATGGGAGTGTTCTGATAAGGCTAGAAGCACTGACCTGAAGGATTTTCAGTCTCAAACCAGGAGGGCACACAAGCACACCATGTGGCACGGCGGCTTAATCTAAATTTGTAATGATTCAAAATAGAATCCTATTAGAAAGCCTCTACGCTCTTAAAAACAAAGCTTCTTTATTGGAATCTACGGCTCCAGGAAGAACATTTACAGTAACATCCATGTAATCTTTCCATTGAACAAAAAGTGCTTTATAGTGGAAACAATTTTGTTATTAAAAACATGTTTCACACTAAGAAAAATGGTTAATATAGGAACTGAAAGGTTCTTTGGGGAACCCAAAAGTGTTCTTCTATTGCGTCACTGCGAAACCCCACTTTTGGAGCCTTTATTTTTAAGAGTGTGTTTAGGTAGAAATTCAAGTCAGCTCACTCAAATGCCATCTTTGTAACACTTCTAGGCAGCTCAATTTCAAACTGTTTTTCAAAGTCATGTTTTAATAACATATTTCATATTAGCAATAAAATCTGATAACAGTGGTATCATCAATTTAGCTTCTTTAGCTCAAATCATGCTTGTAATCAAAACTGTATTTATCACAGTAATGCTATCTTTCAGCTAATGGCTAGTAAGCAAACTCTATCAAAAAGGTGATTGACTCTTTTTGATTTGTGAGGCAGTACTGATTGCCGCCATATTAATTTCTCTCATTCATTTCAGTGCAATTAGTTCTTCCTCCTTATACTGTGACTTAACTAGCCAGTTTGTATGAGGATTGACAGGAAGTTGTTTGATTTCTCCCCAAGTGGCTTCTTATCTTTTGTTTCACAAAAAATGTCAATTTCTGTTAACAGGTCCAACCTGCGCTGATGCCCACAACCCTTGCGACCCCAATAAATGCCACCCATCATCGCGGTGCCAGGTCCTTCCGGAGGGAGGTTACAAATGCGAATGTCCAATGGGACGTGAAGGCAAGCACTGTGAAAAAGGTACAGTACTACATCATAGTAAAAATACAGTAAATGAGCCTATCGACTCTCCTAAGGACTGAAATAACTGCTACATCTCAGTTGTAATTTCAGTATTGATTTTTGTCAGGATCGATTGGTCTGACTGGGATATTGGCTGTAGAATCATCAAGGGGAAAAAAGGGCTGAGGTTATGGTGGGGTGGTAAAAGTGAGATTCTCCAGTTGGAGTCTCCAGTACTGTAAAATAGGTTTTACCAGCTAATATAATGGAGAGTCAGCATCTGGGAGGTGATTTTGAAATTATTTTCCCGTTTACACTATGTCTGAGCTGCCATCCTGAACTGGAAGATCAAACATATGGTGGGTTGAGGGGGGGGTGGATTACTCTCCTATGGGAGCTGGACCCTAACCAGGGAAGAGATGCTTCGTTCTTTTGCCATTTCGAAGCTTTCATTAGTACTCTCACTCTGTTGCTTTTCCCTCTCTCACCTCATTAAAATTCCTACAGATGTTTTAGACTGCAAGCATTAGAAAAGGGGAAATTGAGCCAATTAAATTAAGGTTAAATTAGCCTATATAGTGCAATAGTGACCGCCCACTTTTTTCAGCTGCATTGGTTCTGAAAATATTTTTCCCATTCATTTTCTCCATAGGGATTTAAAAAATGTCTACGTTAAAGAATTATAAGCCATGAACCAAACCAAGCAGCTACGAAGTGAATAACAACATTGCAAACTTTGATTTGAAGCAAAAAATATTTGAAAATTGGACAAAAAGACACTCATGACTGTGTACTTAACGGCTTAAAGGGATAGTTCACCCCAAAATGAAAATTGTGTCCTCATTTACACCCCCGCATGTCATTCCAAATCTGTATGAGTTCTCATGTTGAACATAAAAGAAGATATTTTGAAGAATGATAGAAATACTATGGAAGTCAATGGGGACCATCAACTGTTTGATAACAGTTGGTGGTCCCCATTGACTTCCATAGTATTTCTTTCCCTACTATGGAAGTCAATGGGGGCCAACAAATTTTTCAACAAAAAAAGAAACTTATACAGGTTTGGAATGACATGAGGGTGAGTAAATGATGACAAAATTTTCATTTTTGGGTGAACTATTCCTTTAATGAGGAAACAAATGATTGGTGGAGATTTTTTACAGAATTATGGGTAATGTAGTCTCTCATAAGGATTCCCGCTGTTAAACAATACAAAATAAGTTGAAATACTGTGGACTTATTCAACAAAAGCATGTACAGTCGATCACCAACCTTGTAGCTCACAGCAGGGTTGACTTTAAAGGGTTATAAGTTATTGTTACAAATTCCCTATGAAGAACATGAAAAGGACTTTTACTTTTGGAACCCGATTGTTGCACATTATATGGCTTCCAACACATTTCTGTCACCATCAAGTCTTTACTGATTGGTTAAAAACTTAATTTTCAGGACTATCAGTACTGTCTGTATCATCAATACTATTTCAGTATTTTTATGAACAATATGATGTCACTAATAGTGGGCGGGCCAGTTTTTATCATTCACAAGGTACCCCAGGATTGTAGTATGTCATTGCACACACATGCAAGCACCTGTTCAACCCAGAACTGTCAAACGAGAGGGGCCATAGAGTCACCTTTTTGTCTAAGAAAGTCTCCATTAGCGAGTGATTAAAATAAATTGAGGTGAACCAGAATCAATGAGTTGAGCACATCCATCAGACGGAGTGTTTTTTTTTATCGCTTGAATCAATGAGATGAGTAATTCTATCAGTCAGCTGCACATCATGATTAATGGGGAGTCAGTCGGGCAAAGTGTCCAGGGAGAGTGGCTCGCTCAGATAAGAGACTGTCCAGCCCCGTTTGGCTCTTCTGAAATGAGTAAGTCAGAAACAGGAGAGCGCTCCCTTCTGGACGAGGCCAGAAGGTAAATACATGCAGCGTGCTGAAAGACGGAAATTTACATTACGTAACAGTCTAGTCAGGAAACTCTTGACTCGGGAGATACAATATGCTATTGTCTCCGAAGCACTGCTGTCCTAAAGAACAAAGTAATGCGTGATTCATTCATTAGCTGCTATTTGGAAATGAAGATTTTTATAATCAGTGAATAGTGTTTGAAAAATAATGTGGTGTATTTCAGAGTAATAAATATATGTTCTTATAATAAATATATATATTTAATAAGAAAAAAGCATCCTAGCTTGCTAAACAAATGCTTAATTCTAATGCTATAAAAACTGTAAATTGTTGTAGTTTAATGGAATATTTCAAAATATATAGGTAAATCAAAAAAGGACCGTTCAGTTGTCAGTACTTTACCAAACAACAGCCCTGTCCTGTACTATTGGATGTTGCCAAGTCCTAAGCTGATTGCAATACAGAAATAAAGGCCTGTCCTTTGTCACTTTCCATTTTGACTCCTCACTTCCTTGTGGTTTCTGCAAGTGTTGTGGCTTCTTGTACAATAGCGAAGCTGCTGCTGTGTTAAACAATAGCTAATTAGCTTTTTAATCTCAGTCTACCATTCAAGACTGAGCATGCGCTCATCCTGTGTAATTACTGCAGGATGCATGCTGGGCTGAGTGGCAGTGCTGTGTGTTGATGGGTGTGAGTGTATGTGTGATCGGATAAGCTATACACTGTCACTGTCTGGTCTCATAATTGGAGGAACATCTCAAACACATTAAGTTATCTGCAAAGCATAATGGACTTTTTCATATTTCTCAGTGTCAGACAAGGGAGGTGCTTTCATTCCTTACTTTACTGGAGATTCTTTCCTGGAGCTCAAGGGCCTTCATCTCTACAGCCAGGATCTGAGGTATTGCATTATATATTGGCTATTGCATTTATTATTATGATGCACATAGTAGTGTTATATTAGTGGTGGTCTTCTGGTGGTGTTATATAGTGGTCCCAATGTTTTTGGGTTAAAAGGCATGTTATATGTAAGGATTATTTTTAAGAAGATTTATATTTTATTTGAAAGTGTCTTGTATATCAATATTGTGTTGTATATTAATAATATAATAATTATAATCATCATCATCATACAATGAATAATTAAATAAACAACATATAATCATATTTTGTGTATTTGTCACTGCTAACTATTGTTGTTGATAATATATTAACAGTTACTAAATATCTTATTAATAATACCTTCTTTTCAGACTAAGGCCTGGTTTCACAGATAGGGCTTAGACTAAGTCAGGAATCAGATTAGGCCATGGTTTAATTCGAATATTTAAGTAATTTTTATAAACGTGCCTTAGAAAAAACATTACTGATGTGCATCTTGAGACATAACAATGGCACTAATATATTTTAAGATCAGTCAGTGTAAGTTTCTTTCAGCTGAAACAGCTCAGACTTACATTTTAGTCTGGGACTAGGCTTAAGCCTTGTCTGTGAAGCCGGGGGTAAATATCTTATTAATAATGCCTTCTTCTCAGACCGTTACTCAAAAAATACTTGGTAAACACCACTGGTTTAATTATGCTCCATCTCACTCATATTATTTCATGTTTCAAGTCATTTCAAGTTCATTTAGATTCGGACATGTTGAATTTGATTCCGAAATGATGTACAGTAACTTGGTTGAGCTGTTAACTCAGTAATTAGTCCATCCATTTCCACCAATTCTGATGCATATTTGCTGACTGAATGCGAACATTGTTTCTCACAATACTTTTTGCCTGTCTCAAGGTAGAAAACCTCTTTTATGTATCTAATCGAGCTATACTCATTTGTTCACAGGCAAAAGTTCAGCATGACTGTGGTTCTGTTGGCCAATGATTCCAAAGGCATGATCTTCTACAACGGTCAGAAGACTGACGGCAAAGGAGATTTCATCTCTCTCTCCCTGAATGATGGTATCTTGGAGTTTAGATATGACCTGGGCAAAGGACCAGCTGTCATTAGGTAAACAGCACTCTCTATAGTTATATTCAAATGGAATTCAATTATAATTACTCGGCTGTGTTGTGTTCTGTTTCAATTTATCTAACTGTAGCTTTTGGGTTTATTTTCATATTGCTATTAAGAGGGGCAAATAAACATTTTTCCCATCTTTGTGTGTGTGTGCAACAGGAGTAAAGAAAAAATCAAGCTGAACGAATGGAGCACAGTGAATCTGGAGAGGGCCAGCAGAAAAGGAGAGATCAGCATTAACGGCAAAGACCCCGTCCGAGGAGAAGCGCCGGTATGAAAACTCTCTTATGCTGCCCTATAAAGGCCAAAAACATCACCCTTCTTTACAAGAACAAGTCAAACTAGCTGTTCCGTCCCTTGCCAAAAAGTACTGTGATGGTACTTCGATATACAGTGGAGTCCAAAAGCACAAATAGTTTTTTTTGACTGAAAATAAAGGAATATTTCAAATGTTTATGTCACTAATCAAATCATTTGTGACACTGATAATATGACTCTGTACAGATGGTCAGATGTTCTTCCGTTGAAGCTCAATGTTTTTTGAATAATCTCAAATCATGCTGGAGAACATGATCATTTTTGAGCAGTTCATACAGATCCAGTGCTGCTGTCAGTAAAGCAAAAGAAAGGCAAACAAATACCAAGTTCTAAAATAATTCTTAAATATAAATTTTTTCGAATAAACTTTTTACTCAAGCTGTTATGCTGAGAATGTCAACTGTGTTAAAAAAAAAAATATATATATATATATATATATACATAATATTTTAAATTTTGGTTGTAAGATACAAGCATTTTCAAAAGACTTTTAGACCCCACTGTACAACATGGTATTGCATGATTACCATATGCAAATACTATGATATTGACATTTCAGATAATACTATGGTATTATCATGGTATATTTCAAAGAAACCATGATATTACCATGACACTAATTGATATTGTCCAGAAAGTCATGCTTTGTTTGGTGCATTCTTTGAAGTTTAGTTGGCTGCTTTTCACGCAGGGTCTGGGGTGCATGTGTGGGAAGCTTTCGAAACTTCCCTCTTTTACGTCTCGTACTTGTGGTCTTTTGTCTGTGGCCTCCGTTTTCTTTTAATTGCCATGTGGAAATTACTCTGTCTGTTGTGCTACGGATTCGCACCCACTCAGATCAATCCCAGCAGCCTCGTGTCAAAGCCGAAGTACGACAGCAGAACAATCGGGCCGCTCTCATACACAAATCGAGGCCATGTAATAATCTCGAAACTCTCTCATCCTCCAGTTATTCTAAATAGTGTAATTTGTGATTAGCTTGATGTAGTCTTACGCGTAGGCACTTAAGTGTGCCTTTTTTCGTCATTAAACCTTCCTACGTATGATAATTGTGTTTCATTTCAGCGGTAGAGGCAGGAAAATCTTATTAAAGCGAAAGCGTGAGAGGATGAGAGAGGAAAAAATGTGAAGAAACCAGAAGGGTCTTGTTCCAAAGGGGCCATCTGCAGCGAAACCCCAAGAGAAATACTTTCATATTGCCTCGATGGCCTCAGCCGTTCCACTGAACAGACCCTAACTACACTGCCGTATCACAAAGCAAATATAAATAATGCGGGTGCAGCAGTGTAAAACATAGCGCAACTTTAATGCCATTTCTGATTTACTCTGAACATTTGTTTTCATGGCACTGTACAGACACATATATATTTATTTACTTGCGACCTGCATGCTAAGTGTCTTGCTTGAGCTACGTGTGTGAATATTTTATTCCTCAGGCTTACAGTTTACTGCATGGGTTCTGTTCTGTGTGTACTGACATCCTCTGTGTTTTCTACACTGGTAACATTTTTTTTCTTCCTTCCCCTGTGCTCTTTTTGTGTGCTGTCTGGATATAAGAAATCACGCAAGGTAATGACTGAAGTCTGAAATCGCTTTCTCGAATCAACATCCTCATTCCCACCAAAAGCAACTGTCCATTTCAGCTTCATTGTCCATTAGTCAAGATCTAGTAGAGGATCAAACGAAACAAACCGATGGGGAGGGTTTTTTCCCCCTCCTGTTCAAACCATTCCATATGCTGAAAGGAACGAGGCAGAGAGAGATTTGGCTTTCACCTCAGAACAGCTGGTATGGGGGCGACGAGGGAGAGAGTTATCATTTGACCACCATTGTTTCATCACCCTTCCAACAACAATGAAATGTCTTCATTAGTCTCGCGTGGGAGGGCCATTAAACCGCCTCACTGTGGATGTAGACTGCGAAAGAAATGCTGCTGGCGTGGGAGAGAAAGGGAGTGTTATCAAGAGAAGAACGAGATGTGCGAGGAAGAGCGCGTGGTACAGAGCTAGGAGTTGTTCTTTTGGCACATTTGTTTTTGGACCCTTCAAGGGTGTCTTACATTTTTTTTGTTGTTAGTTTGTTTGAGGTGGTACCATTGACAGTCCTGGCTCACTTGCTGCCCTAGGCAACACAAGACATGTCACATGACCAAAGAGAAAGACATTCTATAAATAAGTGCGAGACATGATAGTCTAGTGAGAGAGTTTCTTTTTAGAATCCAAGGCGACTTAGATGTTCAGATGTGTAACTTTTGAACCCAAAACTTTTTGAACTTTCGGGTTAGGGTTAGAAGTCTCTTGTGTTTACCAATGCTGCATTTATTTGATCAAAAATACAGTAAAAACAGTACTATTGTAAATGATTATAGCAATTTAAAATAACTATTCTATTTCTATTTGAATATAGTATTATATCTACTTTTTCACACATATACAGTCAAACCAAAATTTATTCAGACACCTTCAACATTTCTCACAATATCACAGTTTATTTGCTATAGTTTAGAAAATGGTAATAAAATATGACAAGAACTCAGAGTTCAAATGTGTCAGAACAAATTCATCTTGATAATGTCAGATAACTTTGATAGAAAGGTATGTAATGAATTATGTTGAATAGCTGTCAGCTGTTAAATATTAAGTACAAAATTAGATAATACCAATTTAGGTCAACCAGTTACCGAGCAATGCTTAATTGTGTTCAGTCTGTGGTGTAAAAAGGTTGCATTAGCAATTAAAAAAAAAACACTTAAGCAAAACATGGTCAGGACAAAGTGTCTGAATAATTTTTGGTCCCAAATTTTTATTAGTTTTACTTGTAGTCCCCTGTATGAAGAATTTTTGGGTATAATATGTCACAGTTTACTTTATTTTGCTATACTCACTTACATAAATGAACTATAGTGTCCTGCACCCACTAGTAAAAAAAATATAAAAAATGGTATCTGGTTGTAACATTATAAATGTCTTTACAGTCACTTTTGATCAATTAAATTCATTCTTGCTTAATGAAATAGTACTTTTTTCTGACCCTAAACTTTAGAATGCTAGTATATCATTAATAAAGTTATATTTTATAGATTTTTTTATTAATGTATAATATTATTGGTGATTATATGACAGCTAGTGATGATTTTTATCAACGTTGACATTTTAAAAATGTAATTTTCAGTTTAAAGCAAATGATTTGCGCAAGGTGCAACTGTCTGCATTTCTACCAATGTGTTTTAAACAAACACCTTTCTTTACCTAAAACAATCGTGCAACTTAATTATCAAAGATACTCATTTTTCTTGGAAATTGCATTTCAAATTCTTGGCTCAGAAATCGGAGGGGGCACGTGCCAGTTTGAGTGGGCATGATGCTTCAAGGGCCCTTGGGGAAACTTCCTAAATAACACTGGCAGTTAGCTATTCACTTCACCTGCTCAATCTCAGTCTCAGCTCGTGTTGGCAGGGAACGGGAGAGTGAAAATGTCTCTCCCAGCCTGTGGCTGTCGGTGCATTGCAGCTTTGTGTCAAGACTTCTCTTTGCACACGTCTCTGACCACATGAAACAGCAGCTGGGTGAAAACATTCCTGGCTATGCTGTCTTGGCCCAACCGCATGCTTGGACTGGCCTCCGGGTCTGTAGCCAGAGCTTTTCAAGCCTTCGCCTGTATCCGTACTTAGCTATTCTTCTTTTTATATTGCTGGAATGAGAGCTGGACCACACGTCAGAAATTGGCATTGTAGTTGATGTCCCATCTTTTTTTTCCCCCGGCAATTAACTTGCCTTTCCCCCAAGGCAATTATTGGCCTACATAAAATAAAGATTTTTAATTCTTTTTAAGTAGAGCCTCATGCAGAAAAATCCCACTGTAACTAAAGCGATTTTCACACAGGTTGGAGAAACGCTCATTTCATGGTCATCTGCGTTGTGAGCGATACACCAATTAGAGTTTACAGCTCATTTTAAAGGTCCGAGGAACAAGCAGGCATCATACATTACATTCTTTCATTAAAAAACCATCCATATCAATCGTCCTCATTTCAATCTCTGCAATTTTCTCTCTCACTTTTTTCCTACTCTTTTCCTCCTGTCTTATACGTTAGAGTCATTTACCATTCAGGGAACTGAGCTTAAATCAATTATGGTTTTGTAATACAACACTCACGTTGATGTGGATAAACAATATCACAGTTTATTTGCTATAGTTTAGAAAATGGTAATAAAATATGACAAGAACTCAGAGTTCAAATGTGTCAGAACAAATTCATCTTGATAATGTCAGATAACTTTGATAGAAAGGTATGTAATGAATTATGTTGAATAGCTGTCAGCTGTTAAATATTAAGTACAAAATTAGATAATACCAATTTAGGTCAACCAGTTACCGAGCAATGCTTAATTGTGTTCAGTCTGTGGTGTAAAAAGGTTGCATTAGCAATTAAAAAAAAAACACTTAAGCAAAACATGGTCAGGACAAAGTGTCTGAATAATTTTTGGTCCCAAATTTTTATTAGTTTTACTTGTAGTCCCCTGTATGAAGAATTTTTGGGTATAATATGTCACAGTTTACTTTATTTTGCTATCCTCACTTACATAAATGAACTATAGTGTCCTGCACCCACTAGTAAAAAAAATATAAAAAATGGTATCTGGTTGTAACATTATAAATGTCTTTACAGTCACTTTTGATCAATTAAATTCATTCTTGCTTAATGAAATAGTACTTTTTTCTGACCCTAAACTTTAGAATGCTAGTATATCATTAATAAAGTTATATTTTATAGATTTTTTTATTAATGTATAATATTATTGGTGATTATATGACAGCTAGTGATGATTTTTATCAACGTTGACATTTTAAAAATGTAATTTTCAGTTTAAAGCAAATGATTTGCGCAAGGTGCAACTGTCTGCATTTCTACCAATGTGTTTTAAACAAACACCTTTCTTTACCTAAAACAATCGTGCAACTTAATTATCAAAGATACTCATTTTTCTTGGAAATTGCATTTCAAATTCTTGGCTCAGAAATCGGAGGGGGCACGTGCCAGTTTGAGTGGGCATGATGCTTCAAGGGCCCTTGGGGAAACTTCCTAAATAACACTGGCAGTTAGCTATTCACTTCACCTGCTCAATCTCAGTCTCAGCTCGTGTTGGCAGGGAACGGGAGAGTGAAAATGTCTCTCCCAGCCTGTGGCTGTCGGTGCATTGCAGCTTTGTGTCAAGACTTCTCTTTGCACACGTCTCTGACCACATGAAACAGCAGCTGGGTGAAAACATTCCTGGCTATGCTGTCTTGGCCCAACCGCATGCTTGGACTGGCCTCCGGGTCTGTAGCCAGAGCTTTTCAAGCCTTCGCCTGTGTCCGTACTTAGCTATTCTTCTTTTTATATTGCTGGAATGAGAGCTGGACCACACGTCAGAAATTGGCATTGTAGTTGATGTCCCATCTTTTTTTTCCCCCGGCAATTAACTTGCCTTTCCCCCAAGGCAATTATTGGCCTACATAAAATAAAGATTTTTAATTCTTTTTAAGTAGAGCCTCATGCAGAAAAATCCCACTGTAACTAAAGCGATTTTCACACAGGTTGGAGAAACGCTCATTTCATGGTCATCTGCGTTGTGAGCGATACACCAATTAGAGTTTACAGCTCATTTTAAAGGTCCGAGGAACAAGCAGGCATCATACATTACATTCTTTCATTAAAAAACCATCCATATCAATCGTCCTCATTTCAATCTCTGCAATTTTCTCTCTCACTTTTTTCCTACTCTTTTCCTCCTGTCTTATACGTTAGAGTCATTTACCATTCAGGGAACTGAGCTTAAATCAATTATGGTTTTGTAATACAACACTCACGTTGATGTGGATAAGGATTAGGTGTAAAAGCTGAATCAATATACCTGCTGATGTACAGTAAACATCTACTCTTATACTGATTGCTTTTACTGCAGTTGCTCTGCTAGATGACCCATAAAAATGTATAGCCATTTTGTTTGCATTAAAGGATGTGACTTTTATTAAGTTTGAAGAGCGAATAGAGGATAAGGAACAGTTTGTGTGGTTTCTCACGCTCATTTTTGTACTCTCCAGAATCAGCACACAGATCTTAATCTGAAGGAGTCGCTCTTTGTGGGCGGAGCCCCTGATTTCCGCAAAGTAGCCAGAGCTGCTGCGATCAAAGATGGCTTCAAAGGGGCCATTCAGAAGGTGAGAGCTATTACAGATGCATTAAAGTCATGAATTCTCATTAACATCCCATTTTACTTCCATCAACTGATGTATTTTTAGAGAGAAACAGGATATTCAGTGAGAATAAACCTGAATTTACCCATTGGGAATTAAATGGATAGTAAAAAATGGATGTTACTTACTAGAATAAAGCCAGAGCCAAATGTGATTTGCTTAAACACCCCCTAAATAGCTGTTTGGCTATTGGTTAACATTGTCCAATAGCCTGTAAGGCCTCAATGGCATCATAGGAAAAGCAAAGTTGTTTCAGAATAAGCACTAGTTATTATATTTCGGTACAAATTCACAAAGAGAACACTTTTTCATGCTTTCTACTTTAAAATAGGAAATAGGTCTAAAAACATGCATTAAAAATGAAACAGTTTTGACTTAAAATAATTTTGAACTAATTTGAAAATAATTTTGACTTTAAATATCTGTCTCCACAGATTACTCTGATGGGAATTCCAATCCTGAAATCTGATAACGCCCTTCACTCCAGTGATGTGTCCATGTATCCCTACCACCCCTGCTCCAAAGATGTTTGTAAGAACGGAGGCCGCTGCAACCCTCTGTTGGACAGCTACGAGTGCATCTGCCGCCACGGATTCACTGGACAGCACTGCCAGGACGGTTAGTTCCTTATTTCATCAATTTTTTAATGCAGATTCGTATTACCCAGTACGGCCTCTCCTCCAACTCCCTCACACTCCTTTAAGGCAAGATTTGCATACGTCTTTTGCATACATCAACATACGACTTACTTAAAAGGAAACGCTCATGGCAGCTTTAGCCAATCATATGCTCCATATGTAGATTTAGCTAAATCCACACCTCCAAACTTTCACAAATAATACCAGCCATCATCCTTCATTCCATTTGTATGCTTATCACAAACGCACATTGGCACAGTTGCAAGAAACCCAAGAACTTTTGCTCACCTCATTAACCTTGCTGGGTCCTACTGTTGTATCTTTAACCTTAATTAAGCCACACAAGCATGAAGCCTGCGATATATCACGCTTTCCTTCTTCGTTTTAATTAAACAGTGCTGTGTCTCACATCAATTGGTGTAATTTCACTCCGTCTTTTCTCCTCCCTTCCAGCAATAATCGAGAAATCTGCTGGGGACACCGAGGCCATTGCATTCGATGGTCATACATTCATTGAATATCACAACGGAGTCACCAAGAGGTAATGTCAGTGGCCTCCCCGATGATCACGATCCGCCCTGAGCATCCCTTCTCTATATTAGCAGTCAATGAGGGGTGATGACAAGCTAGATTACTCCGGCCCCATTTAAGGTCCAACGTGCTTCCTCGTTTTAGCTAATGCTTTGATCTCATCAATTACCACTTCCACTGGCCTGTCTCTTTGGTTTTCCATGAACCCTACCCGGTTCTAATTAGCGTAGCACCCGAAGGAGTCTCATGACTCCACTACGACGTACCACACTTATGCGCTGTAATGAACCTTCCTCCACCATCACTGGGAGCTCAAAACCACACGTCTCCACTACCACACATATCCTAAAGCACCATGGATGGTCATGTCTTGATAATTGCTTCCTTCTTCACTTATCAGATGATTTCTCTTCCTTTGGTTGGTCTGATGTGTCAGCGGTCCACCAAACACTTTCTTGGTTTCTAAGAGAAATAATTCATTTTTAAGCCCATCACAAGTGTTATATATCCTATTGCAATGTCTCCACCAGTGTTGGGGATGCTACTTTAAAAATGTAGCTTTCAAAGCTACTCGTATTTTAAATGAGTTAAATTACAGTGAAAATACCCAATTGAAGGTGTAGATATCTACACTAAAGATTACTGAAAGTAGTTAACTACAATGAAGCTATTTATTTATTTTAGGTCAAATATTTTAAACTATAATACATATAGAAATAAAGTGATATCATTTATTTTATCAGGACAATGCTTTCTGGCACAAAGGATCTCAATTAGAGTGACCATATTTCAATTTGAATTAAAACGCAGTAATTTACTCATCCTGATTCAAAAACATGATGAACAGCAGAGCTTAGCTAAATATTTGACTAGATTAACTTTAATTATTTTCTTGAACATATTCATTTATATGAGCCATCCATTTAAAATGAATTGGTCCTTCCAGTGCCACAGGGAATCTTGATTCACTGATTCACATGAGAGTCCGCATTAGAAAAATGTTAGTACAACTGAGAAATGCACCTCGTACCACTTATTTCACAAACTAGTATTCTGAAAAGGGGTGAATCTCAATACAGTGGCACTCATCTCTGTTATGTGTTGTGTGTGTTTGTGTCAATCTGTCTGTCTCTATACACAGCTTTTGTTGTCTTTGCTCTTGTCTGTCTGTCTCATGTGAGTGTACTCTGTTGTCTTCTTTCTGCTCTCAAGCCAACTGACCAATGAGATCCCAGAGTAAGTAACCCGGAGACATTCTGGGATGGATTTTATTAAGCGAAACTAACATCTTTTAAGAAAACCATCGACTTAACCCAACATAAGACATTAGTTTTTTCCTTGTATTCCCATTTACATCACATTCAGGAAAACATTTTTGAAAAATACAGGGCTCATCTATTGTACATAAATATATATTTTTCCAGGAAAGGTTGCATTTTCATCAGCTGTATCAGAAACCAGTTTCAGGAATGCATGCTTGGCATGAATGATGATGAGCATTGTGATTCCCACAGGAATCATGCATGGAAATACCTAAACTGACTTTGGAAATATGTCTGTGTGTATTCTTGTGTTAAAAAAGAATGAAACCCCTGAGTTTTTAAAGCACGATGTACATCAATATTTAGTTGGTATTTATAGCCGGGTTTAAATGGCATTTTGCCGCCACATTAGGGAAATGTTCAATCTGTTATAGTGTTCCTTTTAGTGATTCTTATTTTAAATTATTTGTCTCCTTCTGAATGTAATTAAGTGTCTAAGTAGCTGCACTGAGCCCTTAAAAACTGGCAGCTTGATTAAATGGAATTATGTTATGTATTATGCTCATGAAAAGTTCCTGCCCGGCTTTTAAGCCACGTCACTTTGTTTGTCAAATCGCTCCCAGTGATTTCTAATAATTGTGCTCAAGGATGAAAGCGAAAGTGGCACATTAATCAAGGATTTGTCTCTCAGAAAACTGGACACAATTAAAGAGGCTCCATCCAGTAGAGAGAGCGAGCCACCGCTGACATCAATAACAGTTAGGGACAAGGCCCTCTTCATTGACTTTTACTCTTCTTGGGGTTTAATGCGTGTCACTTCCTGTACAAATGAAGTGCCAGATTAAAATTAATCTCAACCAAGAAAGATGACCGGCCCTTCAAAATGAGTGTCATCAATTTACCTTGATCTGGTTTTGAACAGAGCCCTTAAAGTTAATGAATTCCTCAGAGGACGCCGGCATAGTGGCGCCGTATCTGTGGGAGTAGAGTATTATTTCTGTTAGTATTTACTGTGCTCTTCATCTGTCTTTATTCTCTCTCTTTAGCTCAGCAGCCTTGGATCAATTTACCCATTTTTAACATTTAAGTGTCCTGTTCCTTAATGCCTTTTTTATGTAACTGGCCTTTTGTCAAAAAGAAGTATCTTGTATTTAGCTTATTCAAAAACTAGTGAGCTATCTTGCTGCCTTCTTAGGAAGCATAATAACTCCCATTGAACCATTTAAATGACCAATTTGTAATGCTTTACATAAGCAGAAAATCACATTATATAAATAGAATCTTGACTTGCAGTTGATTTTAGTAGAATTTGACATTAGCATGTTGCTAAGCTAACAACACACTATTAGCATAACAACATAAAACACAGCACACTCAAATGTTTTTTTTTTTATTTACACTGAAGTATTTTTGTTAGTTTTCAGTGCTGAATGTAAATAGTCTCATCCATCATCTTGAGTTCTGTGCACTGAAAAGCCTACATATAATGCTAATGTTTTACCTTTACAAAAATTAACCATGGTTTTATTATAGTAAAAGTGTAGTAACCGTGGTTTTTGATGTATTGATTACCATTTGTATAACCACAGTTTTACTACAGATGCCATGGTTAAACTATGGTTAGTGAAGAAAAGCCATGGTTAATTTGGGTTTACCATAGTTTAACAATAGTTACCATGGTTTTTTGGTTTTATTTGTAGTAAAACCATGGTTAACTTTCATAAGGGTAGCAAACCAAGTAATTAAATTAAGTGGACCTATGATGCCTTAAAATGCTGGCTCCATAGGCAGCTCTCTAGGTTTTGGAATTTGATCGAAAACAACCAGTCTTTCAAAAGTATACTCACTTACTCAGTTGCTCTTTTTCTCACTTTCTTGCTCTCTTGACTGGTTGAGAATGATGGAATTGTTGATGAATTGCAGTAACTCAACCATGTGACAGCGCAGAACAATAAAACAGCATGTCAGTACCACTGGTACCACCGATAAAGTCTTCCAGTGTTATTTCTTTGCCTAGGCTGGCATAACAACTGAAAGACTAGAATAATTTAGTGAGGTCACTCCAGCTTCTTGGCGCAGGTCTTCTTGTCTGTATGTTATGCGATCCCTGTTCTTGCCCTCCGCCCTTTTGCACTTATTGCATGCCTATCATTTCTTCCCTTGCTCCTCTAAGCCCTGAGTCACTGGAGAACCCATCTGACCAGAGGTGAGTCCCCTCTGCCTGAACTGTTTCCAATGGCATGCCGTCCTCCCACACTCAGCCACCCTTGCAGAGGCTAAAGGCCAGGGCTTTTGTCAGGTAGCACGTCGCAGCTTGCACTCTGAAATAATTTGTAATACACAAGCCTTGATAGAATATGTGGAGTTTTTCCATTTTCTACTCTGATTTTGGGGCCTCGGTAAAAGGATTACTTTTAATATGTGACATGCTCTATCATTTTGAGTTGTAAGTTACAGTGAATATACATGATTAAAAATTTACAATCCTAAAAAAGGAGTAGTTTCCACAGAAATATTAAGCAGCACAACTGTTTTCAACATTGATGAATAATAAGTGCATTTTTGAGCACCAAATCAGCATATTAGAATGATTTCTGAATGATCATGTGACACTGAAGACTGGTCACTAATGGCTGCTGAAAATTCAGTTTAGGATTAAATAACATTTTATAATGTCATAAAATATTAGAGAGTTATTTCAAATTGCAGTATTACCTCACAGCATTTCTGTTTTTATTGTATTTTTGAGTTGGTGAGCATAAGAGACTTAATAATAATAATGATAATAATCAACAACCCAAAATGATGGAGCAGTATGGTAACATATTAAGCAGAACAAATGTGCTAATACAAAAAAAAACATCTAGCTTGAGTTCTGTGACTGCAGATTCTTTGTGGACCTGCTAAGATGTTAGAAACAGGTACAGTATTTAATGACTATTCCCATGTGAGCCACTGCCTCCTAGAGGTGGACAGCATAAACCACTCTAATCACTTCAATTATGAAAAAATAAATGATGCACCACCCTATTACACAAACTGCTGCTCTCAAGATTTTTTAAAAGCAAAATACTCAAAATAGATCTGTTTCTTTGTAAATGGAATCCAGCTTTAATGACTTAAGCCCTACTTCTCTTTAGAATGTTCTAAATGCTTGAGATCCTAATGGGACGTGAGCAATAATGAGCTCAGCAGAGTGGTGTATAATCACAGTTAGCTGCCCTGATGCCGTAGCTCTGGCCTGGGGCCGTACGAAGGGAAGGCCTGTGGAAAGAGTCCAGTCAGCACATTACATGTGTCTCATCGGGAAAGAATTCAATTACAGCAAATAATTATTCAGCTTTACGCCGTCACAGGCTCATCAACAGCATTAGCATAATGAAATTCTGTCTTTTTAATCAAAAGAATTAAGATATGTTATTTCCAATTCTCAAGTCGTAAGTGGAGCTGCCAATATTGTGATTTGAAATTTGACTTGTCAGTCGGGCATATAGTGTCTGTCTCCAGATGAATCGTTCCACGAGACAACACGTTTTGTTGGACTGCACTCTTTCTAGGTTAAATTCTCGAAAAAGAAAAAAAATGCACCTGCGGCTTATTTATTCACCCAATTTTCACTTTGATAGGAAACACAAATACAAACAATCTCACAAATAAACAGCATCGGTGATATCACAGATTGCACACCGTGGAGAAAGTGTTTCTATTCGCCGCAATGTGGTGTGAAGATGCGCGCGCAGTCGCCATCTGCTTTCTTTTCTTCTGTGTATCGTGTCCGTTGTCTTGTTCCTCTCCGTTTTGTCTTTGTCTTGTCTGTGTCTTTATTCGTGTTGTTGTCACTTGTCTTACTCCTGTTTACACGTTATCTGATTTAGCAAACAAGCCCCCACACTCTCGCTATTCTGTCTCACAAACACGCTTGCTTTCTAAAATAATGGCTCTCTTGATGCCACGACTGCAGGTACACCACTGAGAACAAAGGAATTGTTGTAAAAATAGCCGCTTTTTTTTCTGTGGCGTATCTGTGCAAAGGAGGCAGAATGCGAGATGTGTTGGTTTCAATCGGCTCCCTGATGACCTGAACAATAGCTTGCTCCGAGTGACACTGTCCTCCCTGAGGACGGGCAGATGTCACCTTTTTTATGCCTTACTAGGGAGGGCTGCATCCAGGGAACCAGATCAAAACACACATCAGACGGCAGCTGATATGGGCATCCTTCCTTAGCGCTCCCTGCGCAGGAAGAGAAAATCTAGAGCTTGAAGGCAAAATAGGAAGTGTTAACTTGGAGATAACCTAAAGTGTGTCACACATACGCCCTTCCCCCATCAGCGTGGCCTAGTTTACCTAGTTTCACTGAGACCCACAAGTGTTCAGTCTGCTCATTAGTTTATCAAACCCTCACTGGGTTTTTGACTGTATCGAAGTTATGTTTTCACCCATAATTCCGTCACTGTTGTTGTTAAAGTAGCAGGTAAGTCAGGGCTTCATGCACGTCCTGCGGTTTACACGGCGTCTCTGAAACGGCAATGGATTTGTGATAGCATTTCCTGTCTCTTTGATCTAGCGAGAAGGCCCTGCTGGTGAATAAATTTGAACTGAGCATCAGGACTGAGGCTACTCACGGTCTGATTTTGTGGAGCGGCAAGGGAGTGGAGCGATCCGATTACATCGCCCTCGCAATTGTGGACGGCCGTGTGCAGATGACCTATGACCTCGGCTCCAAGCCTGTGGTGCTGCGCTCCTCTGTACGGATCAACACCAACCGCTGGATACGAATCAAGGCCAGCAGGTAAAACAGTGAGAGTTATTCCATCATCGCCTCAGGTTTGACATAGAATAGTTGCAGACATTTACAGGGCTCAAGAGAAAGGATTTTTCCTGTTTGTCCTTTCAAGCCAGTAGTTCAGATTTCTACTTTACCTGCCAACAACTTTATCGGCCCTCAATAACAATTATACATTTTAGATAAAAAAATATATATATTCTAAAATTGTTAATGTATAATTTTATGTTTGTTTATGATTTTAAATGTTCACATTTAAAATGTATGTTTTTTTATTATTTAATATTTATTATAAAACTATTTTTAAGAATATAGAGTACCATTCGGAAAATTTGGTGTTGGTGGGCGTTTTTAATGTTTTTGAAAGTTTTTTTTATTCTCACTAGGGCTGCATTTATTTGATCAAAAATACAGTAAAAGCTGTACAATTGTTAAATACTGTTACAATTTAAAATAACTTAATAAATATTCTGTTTAATATATTTTAAAATGTAATTTTTGTGATGGCAAAGCTGAATTTTCAGCAGTTATTACTCCAGTCGTTGTGTCATATGATCCTTCAGAAATCATTTTGATATACTGATTTGATGTTCAATAAACATTTCTTCTAAATGTCAGTGTTGAAAGCAGCTTCTGCTTAATATTTTTGTAGAAACTGTGATAGATTTCAGGATGCTTTTATAAATAGAAATGTTAAAAAAGAGCATTTATTTGAAATAGACTTTTATTTCCTTAAAAAAAATGCTTACTGGCCCCTTACTTTTGAATAGCAGTGTATAAATGCCTTTTTTAATAAAATGTTTAGATTTCTTCATTTAAAACAAATTTAATCCAATTTAGAAATGCTTGGAAAATGCTGCAAAACAATGCATAGCAAAACATACTGATTGCTTTATAATTTTCAACCAATTCCTACTGACACTACAGTACAATTTCTATCATTCTTAAATTTCAACAAAGCCTCATTTATAAAAACAATCATTTTACTTGGCTGACACGTTTATGCAAGGCATAAAATTAATAGTCAACTTTCCCAAAAATCTCTTACACCGATCCTGGAACAGCTGGCCATCCTTATTATTTAGCCCTTATTTACAGTATATATGACACAGTTTGCCATAGAACTGTTTGCTAGCAATGATGAACATTTATATTTATCACAGACTAGTTTTGCCATAGAAATGTTTTCCAGCAGTGGCAGTCATTCATATTTGCCTCAGGTGTGCCAGACAATTATATTTACCACAAATTTGCTGTAGACATTTCTCAATGGTGGCATGTTATTCAAAGCTTGCTGCAGGTTTATGACCGCAAGTGAAAAGCTGCAATCTTTTTTTTCCACATTACTACAATTTCATTTGCCACAAATTTAGTACATATTAACCGCAAGCTTGCCAGAAGGCCAATCTTCCAGAAATGTGAGGGAAAGTCACATGTTCAATGTTAATGCTGAGCTGTGACTCACTATATCCCTGTACTTCTCTATTCTCCAAAGAGCGCTCAGAGACGGCTCGCTGCAGGTTGGTAATGAGGCAGCTGTCACTGGGTCATCACCCTTGGCTGCCACACAGCTGGACACAGACGGCGCTCTCTGGTTGGGTAAGTCTTTGCTCAATCGTAGCTTATTTACAAACCGACTACGTACACCTGCTCTGACACACCGAATATCAACAGTCCCCTCTTAGCTTGTAATGTCTAATTGGATCTTCCCCCACAGCGAGTGCTTTTGAAGAGCTTACCCCAGTGACCCCTGAGCATCTCTCAAAAACATCCGTTAAAACACAATATTGCCTTATTATGGTTTATTAATAATTCCAGGATGAGTCTTTACTATAGGGTGTTTTAAAAAGTGTTTGCCTTTTCTTTCTCTTTTGACAAACCTATAAACTGCTCTGGGTGTGTGTTCATGGTGTGTGTGTGTGTGTGTGTGTGTTCACTGCTGTGTGTGTGCACTTTGGGTTAAATGCAGAGCACTAATTCCAAGTATGGGTTACCATACTTGGCCACATGTCGTCACTTTTTAAGATTAAAAAGGAGGATTTATTCCATTTTAAGGGTGCAAAATCTTCTGCGAAAAGTATTTCAGCACAGGCCAGCCAGTAGAACAGGTGCTGTGGATGCCCGGTGGCTAGAATACATTATCCTTAGACAGCCCGAACATCAAGAGCTCCCTCTGAAAATCCCTTCTTTCAAATGTCATTATTTATTTACTTATTCAGATGTAATTCACTTGAAATTAGCCCTGTCAATCCTCCCGTCGCAAAGCATACAATCCGATTACAGGGGAAACACGCGGGGAGGCGAAAGGAAGAGAGAAACGTGAGTGAATTGCAACAGAGGGAGACATTTTTAAGAGCAGGATACGGAGCTGGATTTTCGACAGTGTCAGATCCCCGAGGGAGGCGAGCGTAACTCTCACTCGGAAAGCTGTCAGGGAACGCCCCCAGAGCCTGGCCTCCAAAAAGCACTGTTTGATCTCCTCACCTGTTCCTGAGTGTTGTGTCTCTATCGTTCTTCATTCTGACACCCCCAAGATACACAAGGAAGAGAGAAACGTGAGTGAATTGCAACAGAGGGAGACATTTTTTCGACATTTTTAAGAGCAGGATACGGAGCTGGATTTTCGACAGTGTCAGATCCCCGAGGGAGGCGAGCGTAACTCTCACTCGGAAAGCTGTCAGGGAACATCCCCAGAGCCTGGCCTCCAAAAAGCACTGTTTGATCTCCTCACCTGTTCCTGAGTGTTGTGTCTCTATCGTTCTTCATTCTGACACCCCCAAGATACATCTTCAGAGTCTCAGGCGTGATTACGTTTTTAACAGTCTTCTACACAGGGTTTCCATAAGCCACAGACTGTTCATCGGCCCTTAATAATATATAGTACTGTAGCTCGCCTGCACGGCGGGTAATATCTCAGGTTACACAAAGATGTGCGTTTATACTATGGGTCAGTGACATACAGTACAGTACGAGTGTCCATGGTTTAAAAAAAAGTACAAATTGTTGTAATTGTACAGTTTTGTGATATCTTGCTAAAAAGACATTTCTTAAAGTTATTAAGACTTGTTATCTTTGTATTCATGTTTCATAAAGTTTTAAGAAATATGTATATACAAATATTATAAATAAAGTACAAATATTTTCTTTACACCATGTATGCATTTGACTATACCCACCTTGAAAAATCAAGATAAAAAGAATTACTTATAATTATCATAAATTATTAATTCACAAGAAATAAATATATAAAATATAAATACATACATACCTATATATAGAGATATATATTAAATGAATTAAATTTTTTTGTCCACCAAATTAAAGTCATATAAGAAATAATAAAATATAATGCTAAATTGCTAAAGCTTTTCATTTTACCATTTCATTTTTGTAGACTTTTTTGATATCTGGATAGTTTTAGTTTTTGACCTTATTCCCTCCAAAAATATCTAAATGAAATGATAAAATTAATTCAGAAATGAAATTCATGCTTTTCATAGAAGACATGTATTTATGGGGGGGGGGTGGAAGATCGTCATCATCTCATATGTTATGTGATAGCATGACAGCCTCTGAGTATGTTTTAAGTGATTGGATGGCTTTTTAAATCAATTGTATGCACTTGTGCTTGAATCAGTTGAAATGGTTTAAGTCTGTCTCTTGTGTGAACATGAAGTGCTGTGCAGTATATCATGTACACTTGATCTGATCTTGTCCATTCCTCGCGTCTTCAGGTGGTCTGGAGGAGCTGTCTGTAGCTCGCCGGTTGCCCAAGGCTTACAGCACAGGCTTTGTCGGCTGCGTGAAAGACGTGATAGTCGACGGGGTGGAACTACATCTGGTTGAGGACGCCTTAAACAGTCCCAAAATTGTACACTGTTCTGCCAAATAGGCTGTCACCACGTTCCTCCCAACACCATGTCTACTGCTGTAATTATTTTTCTATTTTTTGTATACTTTTCTTTGCCTTTTATATTGAAAAAATTACATTGTTTTAATTATAATTTTGTTCTTTGGTTTGTTTGTTTTTCTCCCCATCATTGCGTCCAACAATAATCAAGTCACCAGTCAGCGAACATGGTATCACAAGACAAGCAGAAAGTCGTATTACATCTGTCCTGTTTCTATGACAAACAACAGAACATGTACTTGCTCATTACTTGAACAGTGGCAGATGAGGTTGGTGCCATCTGGATTGCCTTCTCTCGTCCTGTCCAGCATTCACTATACATTCCTCTGAGCTGTTGCTGTGGTCCATTACTACATTTAAAAAGGTCTAAAACATGGCTTTCCGCTTTATCGACACGACAGCAACTGTTAAAAACACTGAGCAAGACTATGTATAATATTCCTCATTTATGATACCACTAACAAGGACGAAAGCTCGGAACATGGAGTACTGATAGTAGCTGATGTAACATTTAGCATTCCTCAAAATTCACCATTGTTTTTTTTTTCAAATGCAAACATCATTGACCTGTGAGATGTAATAAATAGTAACGAAATACATGAGACTGTGAATTTTGAAGATGCTATTTTTTGTTGCAATCATTCGTCTCATGTGTTGTGCATATCTAAAGAGCAATTGCATATATATAAATATACTATATGACCACTTGTTGCATGCATCTTTTTAAGTGTTGCATTGATTTTGCCTTGGTTTTCTTGATCTTCATCATTCCATTCAGGGCAGAAATGTAGCTGACTACATTGAAATCTTGACATCTGATCATTCAAGTTGGGAGATATTGACATTATATATATATATATATCTGCTAATTGTCATTCTGGACTTCTTGTGTGTGTGTGTGTGTGTGTGTGTGTGTGTGTGTGTGTGTGTGTGTGTGCGTGGTGAAAAAATGGTTGTTGCAACAACTCAACATTGGGAGGCGCTGTAACACAGGAAGAGATGAGGGACTCAAAACACATCAGGTGGACAAAAACAGCATTGACATTCTTAGCATTTTCCGCCATCGAACAAAAATCATGTATTCAATCACTGCATTTTTTCTATCGTATATCAAATGAAAATGTCGCTTTAAAATGCTGCCAGCACTTGCTATAAAAAAGGGATGATGTATGTGTAGACCCCTTGCATCCTATGACTGTGGCCCCCATAGCAGCTGTTTATGTTCAACGGTAACCAGTGAAAATATTAATGCATGGGTTTGTCAAGTCAAAATGGTTTTTGTAACCTGTTCCAAGACAAATGCAATGCTGTGGTGCTGTTTCGGTGTAAGACATATGAGTTTGATACCAGATGCTTTGCATTATTCCACTACAAATAATTTTGCTATCTTTACTATATACAGTGCCTTGCAAAAGTATTCTTATGCAATGTACTTATTTCAGTTTTTTTATTTTTAATAAATGTACGAAAATCTGTTTTTGCTTTGTCAGTATGATGTATGGAGTGTAGATTGATGTGGAAAAAAGTCATTTAAAGCAAAACGTGAAAAAATAATGAATACTTTCGCAAGGCACTGTATTGTTATAATATTGAAGTGTCCTGAAATAACACTAAATAAGAATATTTGAATTGTGTTCTTACAGTAATGTCTTAACTTATAAGAGAGAGAGTGTATTATTCAGTTATGTAACAGACATTCTCTTAAGGGGATATAAAATGTCATCAGACATGACAAGCTCGGGGTTGCCTGGAGACGTTAGAGAAACAGATCTTGTCAAAGAACTCTGGCACTAGGGGTAAAAATGTTAAATGGAAAAATCCATTGGATTTCTCTGCATAGGAGAAATCATATAAATGATCCATGCTAGACGAGCAGAGGGTTCCTTCAGTACACATGCTCACAGCAGTGCAATAAAGAGGCTTTTACTGCATGTAACAAGGCTTCAGCTGTCTGGCTACATCAGGGGATCTGTGGCTCCCATTGTTCCTCCTCATGGGGTTTTAGTTTGGACTGATGAGTCCTCGGGCTGTAAAGTCGAGGGGTGTCTTGGAACAGAGCTTGTCTGCAGCACTGGCTCTTTCTTTAGTGAATGATTTCCTTAAAGGAGAATTCACACAAAAATGAAAATAGTTCCAAACTAAGTTAACCATGTAATTTTCAACAGCATAATCATCAACCACGTCTCATTTTGTTACTAAATGCATCCCAGTTTTGCATTAATCATTAAGTGATCGAATCAATGACTCACTCATGAATACAGTCACTTGTTTTCGAATGAATCAGCTGAGAAATGTATTAAATAAATATATAGTGTAATAATATATCATTAAAGCCGCAGTCCGTAACTTTTTTTGGTTAAAAATTATCCGAAATCAATATTTGATCAAGTACATAACCAGCCAGTGTTCAAAACCATCGCCTTACTTTAGCCCGATTCACAAGGGTTAGCTTACTGTATAATAATGTTTCCTAATGAGTGGTATGGGTAGGTTTTCGCAGGAAATTCAAGCATGCTGCCGCGTCATTAAGTCACGTCTGTAAACTTAAAGAAGTTGTCCCGGCTACTAGGCTATTGCATGTGAGGATCCTGCAGGTGGCGGATCGTTTATAGCCTTTTCTCACAGCAGCTAGAATAATTAAATGTATCATTTTGATGGTGGATTGTAATCCAAAAAGGACTATGTGTTTATGAATCACATGTGAATGAAATTAAAGTATATTCCAGTTTTAAATGTGCTTCTGATTACAGATTACACAAGATTTGTATTTTAAAGACAACCAGTTCGAATGAAGCATAATTCGCTTTTTGGGTTAAAAGAATTTCTTAATATGAAATTTGAATGGTATGACAATCTACACGCTAATACACACTATAGGCAATGCTGATGTTGTTAACATTAATAATTTGAGAATAAAGTATAAAAATAATATTAATTTGCATGGTTTGTTGTGATATGAGCTCACCGATCTTTAGATTAAATCACCATTGGTAGCGGGGTTAATAAAGGCCTTCTGAAGTTAATAGATGCGTTTGTTTTGAAATTGAAATCTACATGCTAATACACACTATAGGCAATGCTGATGTTGTTAACATTAATAACTTGAGAATAAAGTATAATAATAATAATTTGCACGGTTTGATGTGTTATGAGCTAACCGATCTTTAGATTAAATCACCATTGGTAGCGAGATTTATTGTAATGCTTTTTTCTCAGTTGGTCAGAACAAAAGTGGCAGACTTGTCACTTACTTGTTCAGATGACAATATCCGATGAAAATTCTTATTTGGGTCATACTTCAAAGACATAGGCTATCTGTGATTCTGAAGTACAGTATCCACACTGGGGTGGTGACTGACTGCCACACATTACATTTACATTACATTAGATCAATCCACGCTGGAGCCATGCCGGCACACAACCCATGCAAGGAAGATAATTCCACAAACAGCTGCAATTGCAGTTTTTCAAACAGAGATGGCGACAAAGAGGCAAAACTTATGGACTGCAGCTTTAAATATATATAATTACATATATAGATATATTATGGAAGTCCATTTTCACCAAAAAAAAATAAATAAATCATGCTTTGGTAAAAGCATAATTATGACATTAAAAGGTTAACTATTTTATTATAGTTTTTGTTAATATTTCGAATTATATATTTTTCATTTTTATATTTATGTTTTCATTTTATTGCAGATAACTGTTTTATGTCTATGTGCTTTTATTAAGTTTTTGATTTCATTTATTTAGTTCTAGTTATTTTAGTACTTCAACTTAAACTAAACAAACATGAGAAATAAAATAAGTTTTATATTATATATTATATATTTCAGTTCATGTTTATTTTATATTACAGTACAGGAAAAATATTCTAGTTAATTTATCATAACTCTGATACTAATTATGATAAAAAGTCAAAATACCAAGTCATAATTATGACATACTGAGTGATAATTATGAGAGTAAAAGTTACAATTCTGACATAATATATCATATGACTTAAAAAGTTGAAATCATGAGATGAGGATTCATAATTATGCTTGCTAAATTATTCAACATAAGATATTTTAGAATTAATTTTACTTTCTATGTCATCTCATAATTACAATGAACCAAAGCATACTTTTTACTTATGTGGCAGACATAATATATAATATATAACACATTATGAATATTGTAGTGTTATTGATGCTTCCCAGTAGGCCTTCATATGGGTGAAATGTATGAACACAGTTACACACTGTCCTCGAGTATGAAATTACAGACACATTGTTTGCATTGGCTCTTACATTGCATAGAGAATACTCGGTCAGACTCTCTGTCTAGAGAGAGAAATCCATAGATAAAGCCCTGCATTTCAGAAAATTGCATAACCACGTCCCTGGCAGATTAATCTTCCTTAGGACCAGTGACGTCATGGCAGCCATGGCACTGCTGCGGTGCCCACAGCTGCCACCTTCAAATCACCCCAATGCAAATGGGGTCAGGCCCAAATGGAAACTGCTGAAATGAAAGTAGAGTCAACATTGCTGTTGTGTATCTTCTATCTCCTAACAAAAATAGCAGCATTACAGCTAACAGAGTAATAATAAACATGCCTTGAAATGAAATAAAGGTGATAATTACAAGGAAGGAACTGCTAAAATAAGACTGGAGGAAAATAAGTCAATGTAGTATACTGTGTGTGTGTGTGTGTATGTACACCACCTCATTATTTATGGGCCTCTCAGAGGTGTGTTTACCTCTAAATGTCCGAAACACCGCCGCCAGAGAAGAATTCAGGTGCCAATAGGTGCTAAAATATCCCTCACATAAGATCACATTATAATATTTCATATGTTATATTCATATGTAACATTCTTAGTTTTCATTTATTTGGTTTTAGTTATTTTAGTACTTAAACTAAGCGAAAATAAGAAATGTTGCCTTGACTATCTGAAATCAAGTTTTTATATTTTAATTCATGTTTATTTTATATGTTACAGTTAATATTTATATTACAGTGATTTTTTTTGTTTGTTTTAATTAATGATATTAACTTTCTCATTAAGTCATAATTATGATATACAGAGTTATAATTATGAGAGTAAAAAGTATGACATACTACATCACATGACTTCTAAGGTTTAAATTGTGAGATGAAAATTATATTTATGACAAAAAGAACATTGACTTGACTTTTTAGGTCATAACTCATAATTATGATTTACCAATGATTTTCTTCTGTGGCAGAAATTGGCTTCCATTATATAATACATTGGTTTGTCAAGTGACCTACACATTTTTAGAAAGATTTTTCCTGGACTGTAATTTTGAATGCATACTGTGTATATCTGCTAAAAAAATAGTAATGTACATTTTGTTAATATTTAAGAGCGCCATTTACCAGTGTGTTACTTAAAGATAGATAGATAGATAGATAGATAGATAGATAGATAGATAGATAGATAGATAGATAGATAGATAGATATATTTACATAGTCGTATGTATGTATGTACGTACGTATGTATGCATTTATGTATGATTATGATTTCACCTTTGTAGCTCGGTTATAAATGGTTAAATAACGGTGTTACAGCCCAAACCGTCCGGTCTTTATATACTGAGAAAATAAAATGAGTCGTTGTGTCAACTTCTGGCTGGTTAATCCTGTCATATGGTCCTGGGAAATGGTACAAGCTTTATAATAACTGACTCGTTTTGAACCGGCTGGATAAAGTTTTTCCAGTCATTTAGTGAGAGGCGGAGAGAGTGAGTGAGAGCTGGAGAGCTGGAGAGCTGGGCGCTGTGTACTGACGCCCCTCGCTCGCGCTCAGCTCTGCTGCAGTGACTCACTCGGCGAAGGCAGAATCGTTTTATTACTCTTTCCCCCTCAGTCCGCTTACACACTTTTGACATCTGACAGCTCCCAGGACGGCCATGACGTCTCGAAGGTAAGCTGAAGGCTACATTAAAACTGCAAGAGCTGGTGCTGCGGGTTACTGTTACTGTATGTATGAATGAACCGAGCACGAAACGCAGCTCAATGATTCGGACTCGGTCTTTACTCCATGCTCCTGATCCTGTCTGGCCCATTATACTGTTCGCGTCGCTCAACGATTTTATACCATAGACTATTTAGGAATAGTTTCAGTCTTTTTTTATTCTTTCGTTGATTTCAGTAGCATGTAGATTGTAGCCTGTGTCGCTCTCGCTACCGGATGTTGAATATGAATAATCAGCGCAAAGTAACTAACAGTTCTCCCTCTCTAGTATTTAAACTGTCCTTCATTAGTTTATTGATGCGGTTTATTAGAATAATTATGGTAATGACCTCCTACTGTATTTACTACGTCGTTGCTGAAATGATAACTTAAAACATTAA